GTCTATTACCAGACGAAGAGAGGATGTATTGGAGAGTGTAATATTGGATTATGTTTGAAGAAGCTTACATGTACCACAAAATTACTAATAGACCCAGTCACCACATTGTTTAATTAGGCACTTGATTGTAAAAATAGAAAATCAATAAAATATTTATTTTAAAAAAAGGAATTCTGAGGGAGAGACCACCAATAATACATTTCCTATCTTTTAGGAGATCATATGACCACTACCAATGATGTAACCAAATTTTGCCTCACTCCTTTGAGAGCGAGGCAACAAATATTGTCTAATAAAACTGCATTCCTTTGATACCTTTAAAATTTTCCCTCCTCTGCTCTCCTCTTCCTTCCCCCCAAACTCTTTTAACTTTAAATTGACATTTGTAACATATATGTTAAAGGTGGTAAGATTGAGAAGCATGGTGTCAACATACAAACAAACTTAATGTGATAAAAAGAATAGTTTTCTAGGCTTCTAGAAGTCTAGTGAAGTCAGTGAAGTCCACACAGACTGAGAATGAATTCTCAGCAGCCTATTCTCAGAGATACTGCTGTCATGGTTCCGACAGATGAAACTCTTCAAAGAACTTCGAGGCATTGTTTACCTTAAAGAATCTTTATTTGAGAAGCATAGCATTGGCACTAACACAATTGAAGCCAAAAACTGGATTCCCCTCCCCTGAGCACATAGTATCAAAGCACAATTCCCTCCTCCAATTAGCAGTCATAAATCACATTCTCCAATTAGTTTGAAATGCAAGCTTTCCCTCCAGTTCTCCAGCCCGCTAATTCTTATCATCTCTTATTTCAATAACCTTGGCTCACACACTAGGTTCAGTATTATTATGTCTAGCTAAACTCTCATGTACATTCCTCCCCCCAGCATCACCTAACTCTAACTCTAAGAGTAAAACATAAGAAGAAAATGTTGTCAAAGCAAAAACATCCAATGTTAGCAGCGTTGACAACTGTGTTTTGTGTTTCTTTTCTTATGGAGAGAAAAATAATTCCAGAATGGATTATTTACCTGATTTTTCTAAAGGAAAAATCTAAAGTAATGATTATTCCTTTGCTTATTTGCCATTTCCCCCTCAAACACTGAACAGAACATTGGTTAAACTTTGGTTATAAAGTTGCAGATGCCTCTCAAATGCAGGGCTTTGCTTCACATCTCATTCCCCACCTGGAAGCAAGCAGGAATAACCCTAACGAACTTCTCTTGAACCTGACTGATAGAAAGCTACTATTTAGATTAATTCGTCTGAGACTCTCACCCATTATGGCTTAGTGCACTTGAATTGTGTTTAACTGAACAAACCACATTTAAGCACAGAACTCTAATATGATGTAGTTATCCATTTTAAAATTATGTTCATTGGTTCAACTAGGGAAAGCCAGTCAGAAAACCCATTTCATTTTAAGATATTTGTTGGAATATTCATGAACAGGAAAAGTCATGTGGTAACTCAGTCAGCCAATGTGAAGAAAGTGCTGCTGAGTCTGTGCAAAAGAGTATTGAGTTAGGAGCTGGATTTCCAGTCTCAAAGTTTTGTCTCTGGTCTGTCTCTGTAAGAAGTCTTCATTAAGCTATGTTGCTGTAAAGAAGAATGGTACTGTAAATATTTTTATATAAATATAAAGTTATTTGAATCAGCTAAATGCAGTCAACTGTGAGAGCTTCTGATTTATTTTTCACCAATAGAGAAATTAAAATTCTCTAACACAGTGGTTCTCAACGTTTGTGTGACGGCGACCCCCGTCACACAAACGCGCCATGCATGCGCGGCGCCGTGCGCATGCGCAGCACCGCTCCCATGCACGGCGCATATGCGTGGCACCGCCCCCATGCGCGGCGTGCATGCGCGGTGCCACCCCCTGAGGGTGAAAATGGCGGATCGCCTTGTTTGGCGACCCCCGAGAAATGGTCGATCGACCCCAAATGGGGTCGCGACCCATAGGTTGAGAACCGCTGCTCTAACAGGTTATGGGCCCAGAGCTTACTAAGGACTGCATTGTAATTTAAAGCTGGAAGAAATTGCCTGTGTTTAGAAAGTTTAAGAACAAGGCAGAATTAGCAAAATGGCTGCAATGGAATTTAAAGAAAGCTGTGTGCCTCGTTTGGGCCAGAAGAATTACATTGTGTGGGCTGCAAAAATGGAATGTTTGCTGAAAGCAAAAGAACTATGGTATATTGTTGAAAATCCACCACAAGTATTTGCAGCTGCAGATCAGAAAAGCCATGATCAAGCAATGGCTTATCTCATCTTGAATTTAGACAACACACAGTTTCTAAATGTTGCAAATTTAAAGACTTCAAAGGAGATTTGGTTGAAGTTGAGAGCTATGCACGTGAATGTTTCTGCATGCAATATAGTGCAATTGTCAAGAAAACTTTTCAGGGCCTGTTTGCAACCAGGTGAATATGTGGAACAGCATTTAAATAAAATGCAAAGTTTATTTTTGGACTTAGAACAACGTGGGATTACATTCCCTGAGTCCCAGAAGGTTTTATTGGTGTTGAATAGTTTAGATAAAACCTGGGACACAGTTTCTGCAATATTTGAATGCAAATTGCAACAAAGGAGAGATTTTGCAAGCAGAGAGCTGCTCGGCAGGAAAAGACTTGCTACATTTGTGGAGCAAACAACCATCTGCAAAGGAACTGTTTGCAGAGGAACAATTTGCAGAAAAAGACATTTGTGCAAGGAAAAAGGACTGTTTTGCAAAAGGAATATTTTGGTGTTGCAAAAGTTTTCTATAGCAACAACAGAGACAAGTGGCTAATAGATAGTGGGGCAAGTCAAACAATTGTTAATGACTCTGAATTATTTTGCAGGTTTGTTCCAGTAGCACAAGAAACTGTGGCTTTGGCAAATGGCCAGAAAGCAAAAGTCATTGGAAGAGGCGATGTAAAAATTCCATATTTGGAATCAAAGTTTACCAATGTGCTTTGTATACCTGAGATGGAACATAATTTGTTAAGTGTGTCTAATTTAGACAAACAAGGTTTTGAGGTCATTTTTGTAAATGGGAAATGTCTCATCAAAAGGAATGGGAATATTTGTGCAGAACGCATAAAAGAAGATAATCTATATATATTGCAGGGACAAAAGGTTCAATGTTCCCATATATTTAAGAATGTTGCAGAGCATGATTCATGTGTTCATCTTCTACATAGAAGACTTGGCCATGCAAGCTTTAAAGTTTTGCAGCAAATGCAAGATTTTGCAGAAGGGCTAAATTTGAAGGGATGCAAAACATATTTGGACTGTGCAGTATGCAAAGCATCAAAGTCAAAGGCATTCCCAGTTAGTAAATGTAGCACAAGACAAACAAAAAGAGTTCTAGAGCTGGTCCATGCAGATCTGGTGGGACCTATGCAAGCCAGTTGGGGAGGAGCAAAATATGCACTGGTAATTGTTGATGATTATAGCAGGTATTCGTTTTGCTACTTGCTTAGAGATAAGACAGAGGTGCTACAACAATTCAAACAGTGGGTAAGTTTTGTAGAGAGAAAGTACAGACAACAAGTGTGTCAGTTGTAAACTGACAGAGGTACTGAATTTATGTCAACTAAATTCCAACAATGGTTGGGGCAGTTGGGGATAAGACACAGACGTACAAATCCTTACACAGCAGCAGAGAACGGTGTAGCTGAAAGAAGGAATGGTGTTTTGCAAACAATGAAAGATTCATTATTGGAGGATTCTGGTTTGAGCAGGTCATATTGGGGAGAAGCCATATTGACTGCTAATTATATAGTTAACAGGCTGTGGAGTTCCTCCATTAATAATACTCCATATGCCATTCTATATGGGAGAAAGCCATCACTGGCACATTTGAGAATTTTTGGAAGCACTGCATGGGTACATATTCCAAAAGCAATCAGAAGAAAGGGACAGCAAAAGGCAAGAAAGCTCGGTTGTAGGCTATGAGCCAGGGTCAAAAGAATATCACTTTAGCGATGGAAGTAAAAGAATTATAATTTGAAGTTCTGCTAATTTTGCAGAACAAAATTGGGACAGAATTAATGCAAATTCTGGGTATGTCTCACTTAATAACGGTGATCTGTTTAGTGACAATAACTCATCTAATGATGAAAAAATCATTATTGAAGATGTCAATGTTCAGGGAGGAGAGGCTGAACAAGACATGAAACCAGAAAGACTTGAGACACAGGAGCAGTTAATACCACGTAGGTCAGAGCGATGTAATAAAGGAATTCCGCCTGACAGGTATTCTGCCAGCAAGGTAAAGGTTTGCAATGTGTGGTATGAGCCAAGAAGTTATAAAGAGGTGTTGGCATTACCAAACGCTGAACAAGAAAGATGGAAGGAGGCCATGGATAAAGAGATGAAATCCATGGGAGACCATGGAGTATTTAAATCAGTGACTTTGCCACAGGGAACCAAAGCTGTGGGTTGTAAGTGGGTATATAAGAAAAAGGTATTGCCAAATAATGATATACAGTATAAGGCCAGGTTAGTGGTACAAGGTTTTTCACTATTAAAAAAATGTATTAAGTTAATAGGTCTGTTGTCTCTTCCTGTCATGAAGGGAGGAGTGTTGGAATATTCATGAACAGGAAGAGTCATGTGGTAACTCAGTCAGCCAATGTGAAGAAAGTGCTACTGAGTCTGTGCAAAAGAGTATTGAGTTAGGAGCTGGATTTCCAGTCTCAAAGTTTTGTCTCTGGTCTGTCTCTGTAAGAAGTCTTCATTAAGCTATGTTGCTGTAAAGAAGAATGGTACTGTAAATATTTTTATATAAATATAAAGTTATTTGAATCAGCTAAATGCAGTCAACTGTGAGAGCTTCTGATTTATTTTTCACCAATAGAGAAATTAAAATTCTCTAACAATATTGAATCTTGTAAGGTTTCAGAATCTTTGCATAATCCACCTGTAAACATTATACAGTACCTGAAGTATTCCAACACATAAAAATTATGATTTTTCTGAGTTGTCTATTACAAAGAAAATGATAAATGAACACTACCTGCACATCCCAGGATTTGATAGGTTCCCCATCCTTCATGCAACAAGACTGCTTCAGGCAATCAGATGCAAACAGGGCCAGTAGATCCCAAGCTTCTCTACTGGCTTTGGCCACATTTGCTGTTGGATCTGCTGGATCGATAATCACTGGCCTGCAATAAACATGTATATATATATTTTAAAAAACTATAGTGTTTCATTAAACTCACAGGAGAAATGCATAGTTAGTTAGACAAGAAATTAAAAAAAAATGTTTCTCCAGTACAACTCTTCTGCTTCTTTCAGCCTCTTCTGTTTGAAGCTATCAGAAAAGCAGTTTTCTTCAAACATGAAAGAGTAATAAATATATTTTTCTTGCCCCAAAATATTCAAGTACAATGGAAGAATGCCAGAACATGTAGGCTAAATAAGACAATTCAGGAGAAATACAGTCTGATTATCACTTTACACAACTGAATGAAAACTTATGTAAGAAAAGACAACAAGAAAGAAGTAATATCCTGGCTTCCGGTTTGCCGAGGCGGTTGGGAGGCGAGCTCCATCTTCCGTGTCCAGTTTTGCATCGCTGGGGGACCCTGGAAAGGGTCGAAAGTCGCCCTGTAGGGGCGACCAGCAAGGACGGGATCCCCGTGAGCGTGGAAGGGTGGTAGCTCTTCCGTTTGATCCGGGGCAGCCCTCCAAACTGGTGGACAAAAGACCAGCTATAGAAATATGGCTTGTCACTAGGCTACAGTCAGCTGAAGTCATACTTACCATCAGGCAACTTTAAAGCAGCGCAGAAGACACTGGGTGAGATCTATTTCTCTTAAATCCTAACTATCTTTTTTACCTGCATAAGCTGTTTAAGTACTTTCCCCTCTGTGAAGAGGGAAGGAAGATTTTACCCCTCCCTCTAAAAACAGCAGAAATTGACTATCCAGGGGAGTTTAAAAACATTGCAAAAATAACTTGATCCTAATTGGAATTTTACTTCTTAAAGTTTGTGGACTAAAAGACTTTCTACTTTTATTGAAGATCTGGGTTTTTACTTATAAAAAAGAAGTAAAACTGAAAAGATTATAAAAACTTTGGACCTAAAGGAAAAAATTAAATATACAGGCGACATCCTGTGGCTAAACCTGATATTACAACCTGTTATTGTTTAAAAGAGACTTGGCTGGCAGTCTAGACCAGGGGTAGGCAACCCAAAACACTCAAAGAGCCACTTGGACAACTGACATTTTAAAAAACATGTTACAATACGCTACTTCTAACTCTCTTTCTCTCTCTCTCTCTCTCCCTCCAGGTGAAGAGAGAGAGAGCAAAAGGCAGACAGCACCAAACAGACGGGGAGGAGGAGCAAGACGAGAGGCAGCAGCTCCCAGCCACCACCACCCCCCGCTGCGTCCTCAGCTAAACGGATGGGGAGGGGAGCAGGACGGGAGGCAGCAGTTCCCAGCCGCCCCCACCATCGCATCCTCAGCTAAAGGGACGGAGAAGGCAGCAGGACGGGAGGCAGCAGCTCCCAGTGGCCCCCCTGCCGTGTCCTCAGCTAAACGGACAGGGAGGGGAGCAGGATGGGAGGCAGCAGCTTCCAGCCGCCCCCTGCCGTGTCCTCAGCTAAACAGACGGGGAGGGGAGCAGGACGGGAGGCAGCAGCTCCCAGCCACCCCCCTGCTGCGTCCTCAGCTAAACGGACAGGGAGGGGAGCAGGATGGGAGGCAGCAGCTCCCAGCCGCCCCCACTGTATCCTCAGCTAAACGGAGAGGCAGGGAAGCAGGATGGGAGGCAGCAGCTCCCAGCCACCCCCGCACCACATCCTCAGCTGAACAGGCGGGGAGGGGGAGCAGGACGGGAGGCAGTGGCTCCAGTGGCGGCCACTGCAGCATGGTCAGGGTCCCCGCCACCCCCGGCCCGGCCCCCGCCACATCCTCAGCCACCTCGCCGTTGCAAGACGAGGGCGCCAAGGCCGGGTGCACCATGGGGGCCGCGCCGGCAATGAGGAGTGCCGCTGTGAGAATGAGGGGGTGTCCTGATCACCGCCAGCCCTGTTGGCCTCACAGCCCAAGGTCTCCTCCTGCAGCACCGAGGGCGGCGGTGGTGGCGGCTGCCCAAAAGCGGCCGAGGAAGGCGTCACCAATGGGGCCGGGCGGTGGAGAGCCCTGTGGCAGCCAGGTGAGCTTCATGCCTGACTGCCACCCTGCCCGGCCTGGGGAGATATGTGGCCGGCTCGGCTGCCCAGGGAGCGGCCTGGGGATGGCCCAAGAAGTGATGCCCCAGCTGAGACTGCCACCTGGAACAAGTAAGTTGGGAGGATGCCACCTGTCCTGTGGCCGCTTCGCAGCAGTGCTCCCTGGACTCAGAGCCCCCTCCCTCCCCCCACCACTGACCCTCGTTCTCCGGCTCTGCTGCTGCTTGGTCAACGGTCATGCCGGCTGGGCATCGGAGAGGCTGCTCTTCCTCGGGGCTGCACTTTGTGGAAGGGCTGGCTCGCTCAGCGGAGGCTCGGGCAGGCCGCTCCCAGAGGGGATCTTGGGGCTTCCCCGCATGGCTCCCCAGCCACGTGCGCCTCAGATGGGGCCAGCCCGGGAAAGGGACTTCCTGGCTGCCCTTCTCCCAGGGGGTAGGGCATCCAGGCGCAGGGCCAATCAGGAGCCCTGCAAGGGGGCAAGTCCACATGAGAGAGAAAGAGAGAGAGAGAGAGAGAGAGAGAGAGAGAGAAAGTGCCTCTCTCTTTCCTTGTCTCTCTCTGAAAATGGCGGGGGGAGGCTCCAGAGCCACAGGGGATGGCTCAAAGAGCCGCATGCAGCTCCAGAGCCGCGGGTTGCCAACCCGTGGCCTAGACAAATAGATAAGACTTATAACCTTGAGATATGAGCTGTGAAACCCAGCTGTGTTCCATACTTACTGAATTTTTTTTTTACATTCTCTGGTTGCAAAGCTATTAACATAATACATTACTAAGAGAATATGGAGGAAGATCAGGAACAGATTCTTTTTATGCTGAAAGCAATTTACCAAACTATTCTTACAGCTACTGATGAAATAAGAGGTTGCAGAAAGGAATAGGATGTCAGCCCAGATAGACAAACTCAAATTTTGATTACAACTGAAAAATTAACTATACAGAATATAACGTAAAAAGTGGACCAATTAAATACTATGACAGAAGATTTAACTGATCAACAAATACAATCAATGGAAAACCCAGAAAAGGGACTGACAATATGGAAAAGGGAAAATATTTTTTACATAAATCAGAAGAAACCTGAGGATCAAGAATAACAACAGACTGAAGAGAAGATAAACAGTTTAAAACAACTAAATCAAGATGGAAAAATAGAGAGACAATTTGTTAGTCCTCTCAAAAAAAATGGCGATCAGATGGTTTTTTGTACATCAAACAACATACATAACAACACAGGAAGATATATTTGATGACTCAAAAGCACGGACATGGAAGACAATTTGGCAAAGAAAGAAAGCTAGAATAAGACTGAAGAAAATTGGGATTTTTGACTTACTAGTGAGAATTAAAATAGAATATTCTCAAATAGATAAGATGTATACTTTGAATATTAGAAATTGTTATGAGTTGAGTTAAAGGACATTCTGGTCATTCAAGACTTGGAAATATAAACATTAATAGTTAAATTTGAATATTGAATATAAGGGCAATTAAAATATATATAAACTAAAAATGTATTGATGAATGTAACAAATATGTTTTTATTTAGTGGTAATAACAAAAATTACTAGCTTAAATATGAGATAGTAGAGATTGAGAGAAAAAAGAGGAAGCATTAAATGTTGAAATAAGAGAAATTTTGGTTATTAAATTTAAGATATTTGGAAATTACTAGAAAATAAGAATATGATATTGTATTATTAACCAGCTGATGTAAGATCTTGGGATGAATTGTGATAAAGGAAATTGGGGTTATTTAAAACTTGGAAACTATCAATATTAAATGTTGAATTTAAATATTAATGGGAAACTAAAAATTGGGAAAAATTAATCAGGACATCGATTGTCTAAAAAGATTGAATGTTAAAATGACTAAGATATGTATAAACTAAAAAGTATTGATAAATGTAAGAAAGTTTTTTTTATTAAATTGATATAATAAGAATTGTACTAATTTAAATGTGAGACAGTAAATACTAAGGGGAAAAGAGAGGAAATATTTAATATAATAGTTTGTGATCTGTACTAAAGAAATTTGTATGTTATTGAATTATGAACCAATCCAGCCGCCATGTTGCTTTTCAAATATTTAAATGTAAAGATGGAAAATCAATAAAAAAAATTAAAAAAAAGAAAGAAGTAATATCCTTACCGTGACTCCCTCAATTTTCCTTTCACATGGAGCCCAATTCTGGAAGCCTTAAGACTGTAATATTTAGTCCAATAGAAGCAGAGGTCTTGGTAGTGAGTGATCAGTTTCATCACTGTGCAAAATCCTTCTGCCATGTTGAATTGCTCTGCTTCTTTTGTTCCTTCTTCCCAGGCATAAATGGTAAGCAATTCCAGGGCAAATTTGGGGGGCAGTTTGGAGATTGAGCCATAGTGCTGAAAAAAAATACTTCCATGAGGCCATTTTGTTTCTGAACATGTAGAGGTTTTTAAAAATAAATCACTGTATAAAGCCCATTGGAGACTTGATACATTCAGTTATCTTGTCCTGATCTTTGGTTGCTGCTGATTATTTGATGCTAAATTTCAATAAATTTGGGGAAATCTGTTCCCTGCACAAAGGTTTAGGACATAACACACTCCACAAATTGCCTATTCTTGTTATAGCTGCTGCTTTTCCATCAGCCAATTTCAGTAGATAGATTATTTTTTTTTCTGCACCAGCTTTTCCTGCTGGATGCTTTTCAAGATGTCTTCCTAAAAAAAGAATCAAATCTGAATCTATCTGGTCCTATCCCAATATTTTGAATACCGTAGCAAGCTGGCCCATACTGGCTCTAGCAAAGAATTAAAAGTCAGATGTAACATTGCCTTTGTATCTATCTCTATGGATATTTTCCCAGGACATCCAGACCCAAGGTGGAGTAGGGAAAACTAATACTGATTCTTGACTTCTATTTTGGGGAAGAAAAACAGAGGACCACAATAAGATCTGATTCTTACCATTATTATGGAGGTTAAGACTTAATTGGTGGCAGGCCAGAAAAGTTGGGCAAAGGGATAGGATGCCAGATTTTTGCAGTCTGGACTGAGCAGTTGTTTGTGAGATATGTAACAAATCTATCAAATTTATCTATCAAATATATAGGGCCCTATATATTTGATAGATAAAGTGACTCTGGGAGATGAAAAATAAAAATAAAAAGTCACTTTACACAAAGTGACTCTGGGAGATGAAAAATAAAACCTACAATCAAAGCACATTATAAAAATCACTTAAAACTATTAAGTAATTTAACATGCAAAAGAACATTGGTTGGTTGTTTCCTCCTCTTACTATTCCAGCCTGCCCCCTCTCTTTCATAACAGCTCACCTTCTTGATTTCTTTGTACCAGTGCTTAACCAGCCGTAGCAGATCCTTGAGCTTTGCTGGACGATGTTTCACAAAATTCCTCTGCAGCTCTGTGAAGGAAGTATTGAACTCCCCTGGGTCTCCATTGGCTTCAATCAGTTCGATATAGACCTCCTTAGGTGGCACATACGTAGAAGTTATCTGACCTAGGATGGGAGAGGAACCAAAGGAAATTATCACAAGATTTTTGTATAATATTATTTATCCTATTGTGCATTTTTAAGGCCATCAACAACTATCATGCCCATTTCCATCTGTCTTTACACAAAGTGAAAAAACAGACCAACCTATCAAAAATAGTGCCATAAAAAAACAGTATAGAAGCACAAGTTAAGATAGGCAAGAAAATGATAAGTGAGCACCTGTCCAGCCTAGACGAGTTCAAATCACCAGGACCAGATGGATTATACTCCAAGGTTCTCAAGGAACTGGCAGATGTGATCTCAGAACCACTGAACTATATTTTTCAAAGATATTGGAGCACTGTGGAACTACCAGAGGACTGGAAAAAAGCTGATGTAGTTCCCATCTTCAAAAAAGGGGAAAAAATGGATCTATTGAGCCTGACCTCAATACCTGGGAAGATTCTGGAAAAAATAATCAAATGATGAATCAGCGAACACCTAGAGGCAAACAAAATCACTACTAAAAGCCAACATGAGTTTGTCAAAAACAGATCATGCCAGACAAACCTTATTACATTCTTTGACCAAGTGACAAAATTAGTGGATCAGAGGAATGCTGTGGATATAATTTACTTGGACTTCAGTGAGGCACTTGATCACAATCTACTGCTCGATAAGATAGAAAAATGTGGGTTAGACAGCATCACCATCAGATGGATTCGTAGCTGGCTGACCGGCCGTATTCAGCGTGTGATCCTCAATGGAACTGCATCTACATGGAGGGAAGTGTGTAGTGGGGTCCCCAGGGCTCTGTTCTAGGCCCAGTGCTCTTCAACATCTTCATCAATGATTTGGATGAGGGGATAGATGGGGAATTCATCAAATTTGCAGATGACACCAAGATGGGAGGAATAGCCAATACTCCAGAAGACAGGCTTAAGATACAGGAGGACCTGGACAGACTTGAACACTGGGCGCTATCTAACAAAATGAAATTCAATGGTGAAAAAAATAAGGTTCTACATTTAGGCAAGAAAAACCAAATGTACAGTATAGTATAGGGGGTACCTTGCTCAATAGTAGCAACTGTGACGGGGATCTTGGAGTCCTAGTGGACAATCACTTAAATATGAGCCAGCAGTGTGCTGCAGCTGCCAAAAAAGCCAACACAGTGCTGGGCTGCATTAACAGAGGGATAGAATCAAGATCACATGAAGTATTGATACCACTTTACAATGCCTTGGTAAGGCCACACTTGGAATACTGCATCCAGTTTTGGTCACCACAATGTAAAAAAGATGTTGAGACTCTAGAAAGAGTACAGAGAAGAGCAACAAAGATTATTAGGGGACTGGAAGCTAAAACATAAGGAACGGTTGCTGGAATTGGGTAGGTCTAGTTTAACGAAGAGAAGGACTAGGGGGGACATGACAGCAGGGGCTGCCACAAAGAAGAGGGAGTCAAGCTATTCTCCAAGACGCCTGAAGGCAGGACAAGAAGCAATGGATGGAAACTAATCAAGGAGAGAAGCAACCTAGAACTAAGGAGAAACTTCCTGACAGTTAGAACAATTAACCAATGGAACAACCTGTCTCCAGAAGCAGTCAATGTTCCAACACTGGAAGTTTTTAAGAAGAGACTGGACAGCCATTTGTCCAAAATGGTATAGGGTTTCCTGCCCGAGCAGGGGGTTGGACTCGATGACCTCCAAGGTCCCTTCCAACTTTATTATTATTATTATTATTATTATTATTATTATTATTATTATTATTATTATTATTATGGATCATCGCACAGTCAGCCAGATGTTCAGACTGGATTTGGCATTTTGTCTACCTATCGAGTCCTTACCCAGGACCTGGGATAGGCAGATGTGGATGTTTGATGGTATTACAGATATCGTCGCAGGATGGAAGCAGTTCCTAGTAAGGCCGCCTTTTGCAATTGACTAATAGCGAATTTGTCAATGCCAATGGTGTTCAAGTGGTGCTCCAGTTGTTTTGGGATTGCACCCAAGGAGCCTATGACTATTGGTACTACCCTTGCTTGCTTTTGCCACAGTCTTTCTATTTCTATTTGTAGGTCTTTGTATTTTGTTATCTTCTCCAGTTCTTTCTCTTCTATTCTGCTATCTCCAGGCACTGCCACGTCCACTATCCAGACTTTTTTGTCTTTCTTATCGACAATTGTTAAGTCTGGGGTGTTATGTTGCAGGTGCTTGTCTGTTTGAATTCTGAAGTCCCAGAGCAGTTTAATTTTATCATTTTCTATGACTTTCTCTATTTTATGATCCCACCAGTTTTTGCTTACAGGCAAATAATATTTTTTGCAGATCTTCCAATGCACCATTGTTGCTACTTTTTTAAATGTTATTTATTATTATTATTATTATTATTATTGTTGTTGTTGTTGTTGTTATCATTATTATCATTATATCACTTTGAAGATTCCTCCCTGAAGCACAATGAGATTTGCAAGACTGATGTCAAACCTTCAAAAAAGACAAGTTCACAGAACAGATTCCACATGGAAACCAACTTTACACTTAATTGAGATAGGCTATCATAACAGAATCTTGCAAGCCCAATGCTTCTTATCCCTCTCTTTTATACCCTAGGGCAGGGGTGTCAAATTGCCGGCCCAAGGGCTGGATGCGTCACATGGAAGCCACGCCCACACCATTGCTGGCAATGGCAAAATCGGCCTGATACGTTGCGTGATGTCACGTGACGTTGCGAGTTTGACATGCCTGCCCTAGGGATTCAGGAGGAACTATCCAGAATCTCTTCTTAATATTATCTTTCTTTCCAGAACTTAAGGAATGCTTCTGTCATCTTTGGTTACATAATATTTTCTTAATATTTGATTCACAATTGTCTCCCTGGCTCTCTATGGTACTAAAATAGAATGTCTCAACTGTTTTATGAAATGCCAGCAAAGTGAGGGCTCCTCTATCTTGGGTGCAAGGTATTCAATAATGTTTGGACTGCTACCAAGAAGGCATGAAGGCACCAAGAAGTATCCTATATACTTTACATAGTTAGAGCAGGTTGATTCTACCTGGGACAGGTGATCCAGCAACAACAAAGAGTAAAATCATGTATGGCTTTAAAAGCAGGATTTTGGATTAGGCTTGGAAGCATATTGGCAACCAAGGAAGTCATCTCAGCATATTTCAGACATTGCAAAACCTATTTCCTGCCATTAGTAATCAATTCATAACATTTTGGACCAGTTGAAATTTTGAGTTTCCTAGGATAATCCCATGTAAACCTCATTGTTGCTGTCTCACTATGAGATGATAAGCACAAGTCTCCACTGAAGGGCCTCCTGATACATGCAGAATATAAAGACACATGATGGTTCTCTATAGTCATGCTGATGGGTCCTATGTTTGCTAATAGCAGAATTAATAAGAAAGCTTGTGACTAGCTTCTCACCTAAAGCATCATATGCTGGGAGGATGTCCACCTCTACCGACTCAGTCTTCTTTTTTGCCTGGATGAGGACTGAGAGTGAACGTGGAGGAGTTCCCTTCTGCCTCGATGACGAGATGTCAACTTTGAAAGCAATTGTCTGGATATACCTCTTCAAATTCTTTTCAATGTCCTTGATGACATGTTCACGCTGCTCTGCTTGATCCTTGAAGCTGGAGAAGCAGCTCAGGAAGATAACCAGATCAACATCTGAACTCATATCCAGAGCTGTTCCTTTTCCTGCAGAGCCAGCCTATATATACCGGTATATAAAAAAGTAAAATGTTCACTCATCTTCTCTCTCACCATTTGTTCACTTAAAATAGCAAATATCTCACTAACTCTAAGGCAGAGGAGAAACACTTATATCCTAATTGTTGAATTATGCCATAGGGCTCACTAGTAGAGTTGGGTTTCTCACTTGTAGGCAGAAAAACAAGTGTATTTTGCTCATTTTTGCCCCATGTGAAGAAAAATATCAAATGGATCCCCTGCTCCTAAACAGGCATTTTGCCACACTATAACTTGGACTGGTGGATTTGAAAGCAGTATATGCACAGATGAGGGAAAATTTGAAAGAGTTTATTAAGGAAAGCATAGCAAAAGAATAATTTTAACTCCAAAACATAAAGACACACAGACAAGAAATATCCATAGACAAGGCAACAAAACAAGACACACAGACAAGAAATATCCATAGACAAGGCAACAAAACAACACATGGCAAAATTCAGTAGAAGATAAATATAGAAAAAAACAACAACCTCATACTCCTTTGGTAGTTGGAAGCCCCTTGTCCTCATCAAAAGCAGTTGTTCCCCTGATTATTCTGGCTAGTATATGGCACTTTTCCCAAGTAGGTCTATACAGAGGATCATCTTCTAGAAGTGAATTAAAAAGATATTCCTTTCCCTCTTAACAGGTCAATTCTGTTGTTTTGAGGAAATGTTTTTTCAGATTCTGTTACTCATGTCAAAAAGCTTCCTTTATATGTGCATGACCATATCAATAGCAAGAATTTAGGCTTATATACTGCCCCCTAGTGCTTTAGAGGGTCTAGGACTTTTAGGACCCCCCCCCCCCCCGTCTATCTGCGTCCTCATTTTACTGACCTCAGAGGGATGGAAGGCTGTGTCAACCTTGAGTGGGTGAGGATCGAACTGCTGGCAGTGGGCAGAATTAAGTCTACACTCCTGCATTCTAACCATTGCACCACCACGGTAGTCTTAACTCCTTATACCAAGTGATTAGCCTTGTGATCAAGGGTCTTAGCTCAAGCTATGATATTACTGATTAAAGGTCTTGATAAATCTTTTTTATATATATAATATTTTATTGGTTTTCCAGTTTTACATTTAAGTATTTGGAAAGGAACATGGTGATTGGGTTGGTCAATAGTTCAATAACAAAATCTTTAGTACATAACTCAGGTTACATCATCAAATATTTCTTCTCTATTTCCCTTAACATTTGCTATATCACAGTGGTGGTGAATCTATGGCACGGGTGCCAGAGGTGGCACTAAGAGACCTCTCTATGGGCATGTATGCCATCGCCCCAGTCCTAGGCCTTCAGCTGGGTTTTATAAAACCTTTTTGCTTTACCTTGGCTATACGATAGAGGGGATATACCTTGGCATGCGATAGAGGGGATAAAAAGAGGTGTCAAAATGGATACGGTGTCTTATACACAGTTACTTAGATGGGATGGACAAAACTGACAGTTAAAATTATTGGAAGAGCTAGCACATGAAAATATTATTTATTCTTGGTTTCAATATAGGCAATTAGTAGACAGATGGAAGATGGATCGTAAGGTGGGTTTCCTCAGAGAAGATGAAAATCTTATTAAGCAAGTGAAGGATCAAAGACAAACTCATATTAAGAGAATTTATGGGGTTCTAGTGGAATTGGATTCAGAAACAGAATTAATTAAGGATTGTATGATTAAATGGGCGCAGAATTTTGGTGAACCAGTTCTACTGGATACCTGGGAAACTATTTGGGTGAGAAATGTTAAATTTACACAAGCACAGAATTTAAGGGAGAATTTTTATAAAATGTTTTATAGATGGCACCTTGATCCACAAAAAATGTCTTTTATGTACCCTGACCTACAGCCTAAATGTTGGAGATGTGGTTGTTTGGATGCCACCTATTATCATATCTGGTGGTCATGCAGAAATATAAAAGCCTTTTGGATTAAGATATGGTGGAATATTCAGAGAATTTTTAGAAGGAGGGTAAAATTTACTCCACAATTATTTTTATTAGGTATAGTTACTGATTGTGATACAAAGGAGGTTATATTGATGTTGAACTTGATCACAGCCGCAAGGCTGTTAGTAGGACAATATTGGAAGAAGGAATCTTTGCCTACTTTGCAGGAATGGTTTCTTAAAGTGTCTTATTTGGCGGAAATGGCAAAGATTTCGGCTTTCTTAAAAGAACAATCGCAAGAGAAATTTCTTGTTGTTTGGGATAAATGGATAAAGTTTATACAATTTAAATTGGATATAAAAAAATATCATCTAGCTTTTTTATAACTTTTATTTTTATATATACACATATATTTTAGTGTTATATTCTTTTTTTCATATAATTTTTTTTAACTTTTTTTAATTAAACCTATATTCTGCTCTGGGAAGCTCCAGGGGGGGAGGGAGTGGGGGTTTTGGGGAGGGTTGGGGAAGGGTGTTTTGTTTTGTTTTGTTTTGCTTTGTTTTTGTATTGTATTGTATTGTATTGTTTTTTTTGTCTTTTTGTAAAAATTTATAAAAATTTTTAATAAAAAAAAAAACCTTTTTGCTTTAGGCCTCCACCGCCATGTACAAAAAAAAAAGGTTCAATCAATCAGTCAATTTCAATTTCTCGCGGAAAAAAAAAGATCTTGCAAAGTTGGTATTGATTGATTGAACTTTTTAGTCCCACCCAGTCTGCTGTTACCACCGCAACCATGCCCACTCAATGGGCCCCACCCACCCGGCACCCAACGATGCATAAGTGGGTTTTGGGTTGCAGTTTGGGCACTCGGTCTCTAAAAGGTTCGCCCTCACTGCTATATCATATTTAAGCTAATACATTTCTAATTGTATCAAACTCAGTTAAAACTTCATTATCACATTTATCAATATGTTTTTGCTTATACATATCCATATCCTGTTTTTAAGTTTTACCTAATTTTTAGTTTTTAATTACAGTACTCCAATTTAACCTTTAATATCCATAGTATTTGAATTTCGGGTAACCCAAATTTCCTTTGTCTCACTACACAAAAGTTATAATATCTAAAATACACATATTACTTACTTAAATATATTCTTATTTTATTTCATAAACATTTTCTATTTCTCATCCTAGTACATCACCACTTAATAATGGAGTATCCTTTCTTATCTCAAGTCCATCATCTGTATTGTCTGGGCTAAACAATAATTCAAAGCTATTTCCTAATATTTAGTTTTCATTTCCCTTATAAGTCTAAATCCTCAATATTAAGTCAATTAATCCCTTATTTTTTTTATTATTTTCCAACATTTTTTAAATCTAATAATCAAATTTCCCCTCATATCAAAATCTCCCTTTAGCCCATTAGTTAAAACTTTAGGATCTTCTCTAATAAATCAAAAGACCCCATTTTTTAAACCTAACTCTAGCTTTCTTTTTATGCCAACCAGGCTTCCATACCAATGCTTTTAGATCATCAGATAGATCTTCCTTCATTCTTGTGCATGTTACTTGAATTGAAGGAGACCATCTAGTTGTCAATTTTCTGGAGGAACTGGCTCATTTATAATCATTAAGTTGTCGCCCTAGTGGCTCAGATCCCCATATTCGCTCTAGTATAGTTGTCCTCAATTCAACCTGGTCTTCTTGTTCCTCAGGTTTCTTCTGGTTTAAGTAGAAAGTAATGTCCAATTTTATAGTTGTTATTTGATTGTCTAAGTTTTCAGTAAGCTGTACTTGTTGATCTTTAAAGCCCTCCATCTTGGTATTACTTTCTTCCGCTTCTGTTGTCTTTTGGGTTGTAGGTTCTTTAGTTGCAATCAGGGTTTTGCTTTGTAGATTTAAGCTGGCACCTTGGTTTTTCAGTCTAGATTTGATTATCTTGGTGGCTTCAAGAATTTTTTCAAGTATAAGTTTGTAATTAAGTGACATCTGTTGGTGGGCCTCCTCCATTTCTGACATAGTTATAGATGGTCCTTTAGTGAAGGCTATTTATTAAACAAAAGTCAGTAAGTGTTCACCTCCACACTCCCTAGAAACCAATTTCATGTGTCTGATTAACGAAACACGTCAAAGAACTTTCAGGCATTTTTTTAACCTAAAACCCCTTTATTAGTATTACAGAGATGTCAGCATGACATGGTGGATGCAGAGGTGGCGTACAATAATTCTGTGCACAGCAGCACTGGCTACACGCCTTTCAGAGTGCCCACAGGAAAAGAGTTTAGCCCAATACCTGAATACCCTCAGGTGCCCTCCGATTCTTGATTCTAGACTTTTTAAAGAGAAGTTACAGTACTTAGTGCAATGGAAAGGGTATCCGTTGTCTGAGGCCACCTGGATAAAATCTAGCGATGTAAAAGCTGATAGACTCATTAATAAGTTTTATAAGAAACACCCTAATAAACCAAGAGGCAACCCCTAACTTATGATTTTGTTTGCATTATAGGATTTGTCCTTTTTGTAAGGGAGGGGCGGATGTCAATGCTGCTAACATTGGATGTTCTTGTTTTGACAACAGATGGAAATGCAGCCATTTTCTCTATTCCCTTTCCATTGCTTTTAGAATTAATTGGTGCAGGGAGGGGGGATTGAGATGCAAGCTCAGTTAGCCATAATAATAACTCTGCCGAGGGAACCCAAGGACAAACTGGGTCCAGAGCTGATAACGTTTTGGTGGGCTGGAGAGCTGGGGAGAAAGCCCGCACTTTAAGCTAATTGGGGAATGTGCTTTATGACTGGGTTATTGGGGGTGAGAATTGTATCCAGGGGAGGGGAATTTAGTTTTTGGGTTCAACTATGTAATGCTGATACTTTGTTTCCCAAATAAAAGATTCTTTAAGGAAAACAATGCCTTGAAGTTCTTTTGAAGGGTTTCATCTATTGGAACCATGACACTAAGTGCTAGTGCTAAGTACTATAAAATCCAAAATATCTATCAATTCTGTGAGATGGGGAAAGGAAAGGAAAATATCAAGAGGAACAAAAACAATTGAAAAATCTGCCCCCTGGACTTTAACTGTCCAGTAGACCCTTTGAGCATAACTTTTCTATGGATCCTTAGTGGCTCATACAAAGTGAGCAAGGGAAATCTAATCAGTTTCTCCTCTTCAAGAGATTGCTATATAAAGTATCAGGTTGTAGTCATAAACCAGGGGTTTGAGTAATTTGTTACTTGTTGCTTACTGCCTGTCAGCATTCCCCTTCAGAAGTGTATGAGTCAATCCATAGTTTGCCCAAACCTTTCATAAGAATATGGTTAATAACCAGTTTCAAGGTCACTGGATATAACATAACACCACAAGGAGACCTCTTTCACATTCTTTACAGCAAGTAGTGTTCTTGCTCCCATCCCAAAGATCTCCCCTCTGAACCAGCATTCATGTCAATTCCTGAGAGTCTATCATGGACATGGCCTCACTGCCATGAAGTCTGGCATTTATTCCCTAACTTTAGCACCCACATTTACTAAGTCAGACAATATATATTTGAACTCACAGTCTGGAAAGAGGGCTGGGAACTTGATACCCTGTAACTAAGTTAGTGCAATGGCCTAAAAGAGTCAGTGCCACTCAATCTGAGAAGTCATTTTACTAGGGTTGGGTTATTAGATCAAGCAAGGCTCACCTTTACTGTCTTGATCACTCTGGCATTCAGGTCACAGACTTCTTTCAGGAAAGAACAAATTCTGTTGATAGCATCACTGTCATTCTCTTGAAACTCCTTGCTGGGGTGGAGGTTCCTAGCAATATATCCATCAAGTTTTTTAGAGGGGATGGAATACAGCTCCATTGTCTCCTTCAGGTAGTCCGCTTGTTCTAAACTGAGATGAGCCACCCAACTCTAACTTACTGACCCTCCCTCTCTCTAATGTCACCACACAAGCTCTTAAGGTGGACTAGACGGTGAACAGTCAGATTTCTCAGACATGTACTTTTAAATAATGTATATAAAAGCTGAATTGGAATAAAAACAATTGAAATGAAATCATATTCAATGTTGTGAAATTATTGCATGGAAAACAGTAAGACAGTATTTTGTATTTGAGTAAAACAAAATAGATATTTGTTTATGTTGTAAAAACTTCCACCTTTCATGGAAACTATTGTAAAAGTACTGGAATACATTTAACATAATAAAATGTGCAGAATAACGTTTTACTTACTATTCTTACTAATCGAAGTTCTCTAACTCTAAATATATACTTTTGGGGGGGGGTCCTAAAAGTATTTTCATAGACTACCTTAAAAGTTAGAAGGTGGAGACAATTTCGGGGCGTAGATGTTTCTTTTTTTCGAGAACGAAACTTAAATGTAGGAAACGAAAGTAAAGAGCGAAGGGGCGAATGGTGGGGAATACTCCAAACGAGGGTTGGCGTAACACTCAAAATAACTTAGGCATAACATCTTTGGAGACGCAACCTCTCGCTTTAGATCCCAGGATATCCAGTTCAAAGAGCGGCTGTCAGATTTCCCACATGTACCCCGCATTCAGGTGCTAGGACTACCGCTCCCATCCTCCCCCCCAAAACAGTCAGAGAGGGAAATGCTGAAGGACCAGGGATCTCAAAAGAAAAATATCTTGAGGGAGTGCCAGCATTCTCGGGGCCGCGATTAGGGGCGCTTCCTGTGCCTGAAACCGTCAGGTTCCGCAGAAAAAGCGGGACAACTCCGAACAGATTGCAGCGCCCCGCCCGATTCAAAGAAAAGCACTTGCTCAGCCTCGCCTCTGCAGTCGGATCGTCGCCAGGGGAACTTTTAGCAGCTGAGAATCTGCTGGATCCGCCGGTTCCCATTTGTGGCATGATGTGCGGTAACAAGAGCGGCAGCCGTGCGCCCTTCCCTTCCCTTGGATGTAGTTTTCATTTTAGAAATTAGATGCCCACGGCTGTCTCTTGGATTGAATCAAAGCCTGAGATCCGTTCCACAGCAAAGGCATGGAGAAGAAAGGCTTCGATTCTCACTCAGGGCTAAATGGTGGAAAAGTCTTAATTCCTTATGTCTGGCTCCAGCAGTGCCTTCGCCTATTTTTGAATTGTCTCTTGGACAAAACGTACCCTGCAATAAATGTGAGGCTGAACCCTGTGGGTGAGGTTGCAATGTGACTACACAAAAGAGCTTAACATTCCAAAACAACATGTAGGTCAGACAACTCTTCCCCCTAACATAGTTTCCCAGGCAAAACCGGTGTCACTCTCCTTCCTTCTATTTCATTTGTAAAAGTTGACCAGATGGGTCACTGAAATTCTCTACCCATGACAGACTATGTGAATACTTATCACACAGCCCTTCATCTTGGTTGACACTTCCTTTTTGCTCCCTAGTCCAGTTTCCATTGCCGGGTGAGGTCACCACATTTGTCCTGGTGCCAGGATCTGACCTCAGTATTTAGAGCTGGGTCCAAAGACTTTTCAAAGTCCCTTCCAAATTACGGTCCTGGGGAAGGAGAATTTTTTCCCCAATAATATCTTAAGGGCAACAGGGACATCTTTTCTTACAATTTAGTTGAAGTATAAAAAGCCACCAGGGTTGCAGAGCCTTGAAGAGATCATAGTTGTATAAAAACACAATAACAGGACATTCAAGAACAAGTTTGGTACACTTCAAAAAAAAAAAATCTATCCAGGAGAATTTTTTCAAAATATTTTTTCCCTTTAAAAATATGAAATAACTAATTTTATAAAGTTGAACAAGAACTGGTAGAAAAAAGTCAGCACTCACATGGCATTTTGAAATGGACAGTGGTTAATCTTTTTTCTGGAGCACTATTCCGGAAACTCAGTTTTTTTCCTCCTAAGGCCACAAGGACTTCAACAAGGTTGAAACAGGTTTATTTTTCTTCTGTCTCTTCATCCATCTTCACAACCACTTTAGTCACTAATGTAACTCTTTTAGGGTTATAGTTATTCAGAATCCGAGACTAGCATTTTCTTAAAAGATGATCCAGGAGCCATGAGGACTAAAGGAGATATTTTCCCAAATCACTTAGAAAATGGTATTTCTGAGTTGTGTTTGATATTAGCAGTAAAGAACTGCAGTTACATAATATTATCATTTAATACAACTAACAATTCTTGGAATCATTTCTATTTTCAAAACACATTTAAGTCATATTCGCAGTTTGTGTCTCATCATTTAAAGCATTATTAAAATGCTTTATTTCATTGTAAAACAACAACTTTAAAAATTAGAAACTGTGTAAGGGAAAAAGAGAAAACACAGCACAGCAATTTGTAGAATATATGAAATTTGTTCCAACTTCCAAACATTTTACGTACAATATAGGTGAGCGGAAATGCTTTGAGACATAGCAGCAGAAATCTCTCAAAAGAAATAAAAGGCAAAATAAATAATTATGAAAAGTCATTTTACTGTCTCTGGACTCATCAAAGCTTAGATGGCCTGATTATTTCAAATTATTCTCACTTATGGGACAATTTAGGGGCAGCTCACACACCCAAGAATGTAAAATTGAAAAACTGGATTTAGGAATTTGCATTTCAATGTTACACATCTACAGTGCAGATTTAATACCTTCTTACTAGTTCTGTTGTATCTCCAATTATAGCCCAATCAAAGCATTGTGCCACACTCACTCAATCTCCACACCTTCCTTGAAATTGTCCATTCCAGTCTCATATAGATTAGGTAGGAATAGCCACAATCTTTGCTGGTATACACCAGAGAAACTGCTTATATCCCCCCCCCCTATTTTTCTCTCTCTTCCCCCCCCCTCAAAATTTATTGTCCACCCAATTCCAGTGTGCTTGGAGTATTCCAGACTTGGACCTCAGATCTCAGCTCAATCCAGCTTGCCATCACTTTCACATCAGTCCCTGCATCTTAAAATTTGCTTTTGTACAGGATAACAAACAAAAGCATGATCAGGGCTTTTTTTTTTTGAAAGGCAGATTATTCCATGTAAGCAATAGGCTGAGAATGGTGTGAACTTTCTGAATGCCACACAAATTGCTCCAAAACAGGCTTGAAAATGAGCCTTTTTTCAGAATTACAGTTGAGCTCTGAGGGGTTAGCAGCTCCCATCCCCAACCAGAGATTTACCTAGGAATCTAATGTTGGTGGAAGATAATCTGTCTAGAAGGAAAAGTGGGAGACATACTGTACAATTCAAAGCAGGGCAGCTGGTTTTCTGCACATACCAATATGATCACTATCAGTTCCTAATCAAGGTCCAATATCTGCAGGTTTTCCAGAACAAGGTAGTGTCCTCCTAACTGTGGCTCACAGCAACAATCTCCTTTGGGCTGCTCTTTCTCTAGAAAGGGTCTCGGGCTAGTATAAAATCCTCTGGGGCCTTGACTGAATACAGAAGAGAGAGGGCAATTTCTGCTGTTTGGTTCCTTTGCTTTTGATCTCCATCACAACAACTTGAAACATCTTCTCATACAAGCTGATGCCCAGGAAATCTCAGTCACAAATGAACTCTAAGTCCTCTGGGCAAGAATGGCCCTGTTTGTTCCATCAGAAGCTAAATCTTGATGGCCACCCAAGGGTGGACTACATTCATCAGTCAACAGTCTGTTAATAAATACATCAGTGGTTGTGTTGTTTTTCTGGAGGCAGAGCACACAGTGGCTACTTAAGCACAGTTAATGCTTGGGTAAGGAAGGAAGAGGAAAGAGGGTCAACATCCTCCTGCAGGGTTGAGACAGATACATTGTGAGAGGCATCCAAGTGCTCTCCTTGTCAGGAGATGATAGAATATCAGTGGAAGCTTCAGAAATAAAGAGCGCTACAGATCCCTACATAACAGTTTGGTAGCCACTGGATCCTTGCAGAAAAGGACTGTATTTCCCAGTGAACTCTGCCTGTTTTTCTTCTCCCTGGTCCAGGATGTTTAGGATGTGGCCTCTGGTGCATTGGTCCTCGGAGGCTGCTACCCTCGTCTTTGGTTGTGTATTATGGATATAGGCCAGGAGTACAGAGCTTCCCCCATTTCCCCAGGTTTTGTTGCTCTCTGTCAAGGGTTTGAAGAGTAGCAGCTATGCTGTGACACCAACGTTCCCCTACAAACTACAGAAGAAGCAGCACCCAGGAGTATGGGGCTGGTGTGGAAGGATGTTCTTTCCACCCAAACACAGAAGTCATAAAAGATCCCGCGCTTTCTCTCCTACCATCCCTATTCCCATACTCCCACCCTGCTTCCCTGGCCCTTCCCAGCACAGAGATTTTGATAAGTCCATCTTCCTATAGGTCACCAGATATCTGTGCTCCGAGGAGCCCTTTCTGCACGGGGCACTTCATGTGTTCTTCGGCTGCGGGCTTTCCGCTTTTCCTCCAGATGTTTCCACTTCTGACTTTTGGATTTGATGTTAAGTAAAGGGGACAATGGAGGGGGCTTTTTCTTGGGCTGGTGGCTCTTGCGTCTCCATAGTTGCTCGCACACCTGGTCCACGGTGCTGAGATTGGGGTGATCCACCAATTGTAAAAAATCTCGATACCAAAGTTTGCGATGGAAAGGTTGTGTGGATTCTTCTTCCCAAGAGAGGGAGAGAGAGTCAGCCTGCTGTGCATAGATCACTTCAAGCTGGAGGTGCAGCAGACCCTGGGTGAAGCCATGCTCCGTTGCATGGCAATAATAGAAGCCAGCATCCTTGCGCTGTACATTGCGCAAGAGGATTCCCCGCTCCATCCTGACGACCCGATCATCCAGCAATACCTGGAGGTTAATGAAACACAGACAAATGAAACTGGAATTAGCGATCCAAAAGTCAGAGGAATTTTATGTTTCACTATGGAATTGTCTTATTACTGAAATCTGTACGAAAGATCCTTTAAGGACATTGGTGTGACTGGAGTGCCTGGGGAAGCATCTTCTCTAATGTTGCTCCAAAATCGTGAAAAGAATTCCTTCTAATAATGCAACTGCCTCCACTTTGCTTACTTCTAGAAAAGATGACGAAATGCCTTTTAATTTTAGCTGTTCCATGTTTCAGTGTTTTAATTAATGATTTCAGGAGACTTTATTATTGTATTGTTTAATTTTAGATTTATTCTGGCTTGGTTTTTTTGTTTTTTTTAGCGAAAACAGTACATGTATTTAGAAGGGTGAAGCCATATCAACAATTTAATCCCAATTTGTTAGCCTTGTTTCATATTTATTCAGGTAAAAGTGAGATCATCACTGGCATTCAGATGCAATTCAAGGTGTACACTCTCATCTTTAAAGCTCTATAGTATATTCCTGAGTGCCTGGATATCATTCAGTTGGCCTACTTTGGGTTGAATTTATAAATCTAGTAAAATCAGAGAAGACTTGTTAAGGATTCCCCCCCCCCGCCCGGAAGGAATGACATCTGCAGAGATCCAATAGGTGAGCATTTATGGTGATAGTCCTCTTTTTATGGAACAGCTTACCTTTGGATATCCAGACCATTCCCTCTTAGTTATTTTCTAAAAAAGACCCATATAAAACATGACTGGCTAGGAAAGCCTTGAATATAAACTATACTACCCTGAAGGTGTCTTATAGCAAATTGAGGTCCATCTTTTTATTGGATCATTTGTAATTATTTCCCTCCTGTTTCTCTCTGTATGGCCTTATTGTAAGCTAGTCATTATGACCGGAGTGTCATACAAGTTGGAATACACGAATGAAAGATTGAATAAATAAAATACACTATAACTTATACAAGAAGTCCTCGATTTACAACAGTTCATTTAGTAACCGTTCAAAGTTTCAACGGCACTGAAAAAAGTGACTTATGACCTCTTTTCACAGTTACGTCCTTTGCAGCAGCCCCACAATCATGTGATCAAAATTCAGATGCTTGGCAATTCGTTCATATTTATGATGGTTGCTGTGTCCCAAGGTCACGTGATCACCTTTTGTGACCTTCTGACAAGCAAAGTCAATTGGGAAGCCAGATTCATTTGACAACTGTGTTACTAACTTGTCAACTGCAGTGATTCACTTAACAGCTGAGGCAAGAAAGGTCACAAAATGGGGTCACTTAACAAATGTCTCACTTAACAACAGAAATTTTGGGCTCAATTGTGGTCGTACGTCAAGGACTACCTGTAGTGTTTTACAGAAAAAACCAATTATCCAAAAACAGCTAATGAGGACAGCCTTTATATTGCTTCAATTATAGCTGGTTGACGCTATCGGTATACTTTTAGCCATTAGTAGAAAAATGTGGGCACACAGCAATTAGGTTTTACCTCCTTCGGGGGGTCACTTCTAGACTTTTGATATGTCCACACAATCTTGGCCTGCAGTGATTTAGGCAGACATTCTAGAAAAGTGCTGCTGCCTTCCACGCCATAGATTTTCTTTTCTGGTACACTGGTTTTCTGAGGATCTGCACAAAATCAGAAAGGAATAACACAAGGAATAAAAATCAAATATGTCTATCAGTTAAACGATGAAGAACACATACACACATGGGGCCCAGTCTAAAAGCAAAGCCAACTACCGGGAAAGAAGCATCAGAGAACACAGTTGAAACTGATGAGAAAAGGGAATGGTTCCTTGAAGCATCTGAGAGGGCAGAATATGTGGGTCCAGAATCCACGGGAATTGTGAAGGAAAGAAACTGCTTCTGCTCAGACGGAATGACTAATATGGGCATTTAAATGACTGGAAAGGATGGATTCTGATGAGACATCCAATCAATCCTCTGCCATATTTTTCTTTTGTGTTGGGTTTTCCAAGAACAGGGAAGATACTGGATATCGGCAAGAAATAGGCAAGAATGGTCTAAGTAAAATTTGGGATTCTATCCTTGATTTCACACTTTATAGGACTGGTGGATGTATAATTTCCTACAATTCTCTTTGGATTGTTTACTTATTCCCCTCTCATTTTTTTAATGCGAAAGTTGGATTGTGTGTGGGTAGAGAGGCAAGACAGGAAAGAATAAAACAAAGAACTGTTCCAATTCATTAATTACAGATTGTGAGAGATTGGGAAGAGAAGCTGTTTGTGGACAAAAGGACATAGGTGGTTGAGGGGAACATCCTCAACCACCTATGTCCTTTGGTCCTTCCTCTTTCTATCAGATAGATGATGGCATAACTTCAGATTTTGGATGAGAGAGAGTCCCGTGGGGATTTGTTGTGCTGGAAATTCCTTTAAAGAATCCATTCAGTTCTATAACTCTAAGTGGCAGGATCATTTTAACTGACTCCCCATCCCTGCAGGAGGGCAGTTATGTTATTAGATTAGATCTAATCATTATTGTGGGATCCAATGGTAGACACAGGGCAGTCATAAAGGCTATGAAATTCTGGTCTGGAATTATAAAACAATCTCACTGAATAAGTATTGAAATTCCCAGGTTGCCTGTCAATGACTTAGCCATTGAAGGCGTTTGGCAGCAGAGCAGAAAGTGCACCAACAGTATCCCAAGTCTATTTTATTGAATTAACTCCAAGGTAAGATCCTTCTAACAGTTATTTTGGTGAGTGAGATAATATTCCTATTATATACCTACGATGCACAAGCAAAATCAATGGGGAAGCCAGATTTACTTAACAACCATGTTACTAATTTATCAGCTGTGGTGATTCATTTAACTGTGGCAAGACAGGTCATAAAATGGGGCAAAACTCACTTAACAAATGTTTCAACAACAGAAATTTGGGGCTCAGTTGTGGTCGAAGGACTACCTGTATTAAAGAAAGTGCAAATAAGATGTGTTGCACTAGAATTTATCACTGGCTAAAATATATTCATTGGAAGAATAGTACATAATTTACATATACATTTCTTGGGGGAGGGGAAATGAGTGCAGAAATAGCTGGGAAAAGGAAACAGTGGAATTAAATGTCCTCCTTGCTCACAGCTATAATGTAAGTACATCAAGAACTTTAGCACTCTTTTGATTCATGCATTGAAATTTGAATAGTCGTGCGTGGGTATATAACATGCTATGCTGAATCAAAGAGCCCGTCTATATTTTGGTTTAATGTGATACCTTGGCTCTCATAACATGTAAAGACAATTGGTTTCCCATAAGACATTGAGCAGAAAAGCCCCAAGCTTGTTTCGGCCCAGGCTCTTCAATTGGGTGAGCAGATTTAAGAGCACTCACATCTCGAGCACAAGATACTGGGATCTCCATTCCTCACATCCTGGCGTCGGAATCGCCTGTTGGGAAAGAGTAGGAAAAGATTTGCCAAGCATTCTTCTGGGGTTGGGACTGAAGCCTCAGATCTACATAACCACCATTCACATGGATTACATCCAGGAGCCACACAAATACTGTAGGGATTGGCCCCCAAGGTTACAGGATCCTTAGCTATACCGTTTGGTATTCTGCAGGTATCGAGTGCAGGTGGTGCCATCCCAGGCACAATAGGGGTCCCTCGCTAGGCAACATTCTGCACAAGCTTTGCCATACATCCCACAACGGTGCAAGGGCAGTTGCGAAATGGAAGTCCTGGATCCCAGGTACAGCTGTTGCTGTTGGGAGACAAAGCCACACAGTCTCCTTAGGGCCCACTAATATCTGGATGGAAAATAACCTTCTGCTTCTAACAAGTTACTATTTTGAGAAACAGTTTCTGAGACTTAATCTAGGCTGTCAGGCACTGCTCTAATGAATGTACTGTAATAAGTGAGAGGTGAATGGAGAATGGATATGATCAGAACCTTCTAAATCAAAACGAGGTATATAGCAGGTATCCATAACCTATGAAGATGGTAGGCAGTCAAAAAGAGATTAAGCAGAAAACTATTTTCCAAACATGAACATTTTAGTTCTTTTGTTCATGGACATCCCAAGGGAAAGATACTTGAATGCAATACAATGTCCCGAAAGATGATCATCATAAAAAAATACCGTAATAATCTCTTGGACAGGAGAAATGCATGCATATAATCACCCCTGTTCTGATCATCTTCTACTACCAGTTTCTCTCCCCACCTGCAATGATTTTAATTATTTATGAATCAATGCAGTTAAAGAGAAGTTTGCCCCCTGGTTTTCATAAGACAGCTTCCCAAAGTTTTTCTACATACCCGCTTGGATGAGATCTGCATGCTAGTAATAGGAGAGGAGTCCTGTCAATGAGAAACGGAAATAATTATGAGGGTACTGAAGTGCTGATAAAAAAGCCACATCCTTTCAAGAAGTTCTCCAGGTAACTGGTAGTAATGGGCAGAAGGAATAATCTTTAGGAACAACAGGAAGAGCCACAAGCAAGACAACAGTCAGATAAAAAAAAAATCTGAGTCCAGGCCAGATTGAAGATTGAGAAAGTTCTTAGGCAGGATTCTCCCTAGTTATCAGAGAGTTAGAGGGAAGGAGGGGATAAGCACATCCAGACTTGCAAGAGTCTGTTAGTGCAACCTTATAATAAAAGTAGTATTGTTCTATATGACTTTGGTTTCTGTGTCTAGTCTACTTTGAAAGGGTAACACAGCTTCCGGTGGGGCCTTGCACTATCACAGCCTGAAGCAGGAAAAGTGGCAGCACCTAAAATGGCTAGGACAGTGCCTGCACTTAACCCAGTCATCCCAATCTTGATCATTGTGGTTTTAGCGGTAACAGATGATCACGTCAACAGGTAGGGTTGTGCAGTGTTTTGGATTGCAGAAAAAAAATATTCTGCAGGAACAAAGATTGGAAGATAACATCCATCATGTCTTTTGCCAGGATTGCTTGGCTGCCCCATTGCAGCCTGGTCCTAGGAAAAGATCTTTTTGGTTTAAGGAGTTGCACACAGAGGCAAACATGAGTATTCCCAGGCACTCTGATTATGTGCCATCAAGTGTTTTGATTCCTAGCAGATAGATAGATAGCTTTTTTTGTAACAAAAAACACATACCATACAACCTGTAACACATATCATACAATCTGCCTTGCCTATCCTACAAAGTTCCATCCAAAAAAGGTGCCGGAATTCCGTTCTGGGCGTTCTATGACAAAAAAAAGCCCTGGATAGAAAGATAGATAGATAGATAGATAGATAGATAGATAGATAGATAGATAGATAGATAGATAGATAGATACAGTAGATAATAGATGATAGATAGATAGATGATAGATAGATATAGATAGATCACAGGTCGGCAACCTGCGGCTCCGGAGCCGCATGCGGCTCTTTGAGCCTTCCCCTGTGGCTCCCAGCCTCCTCTGCCTTTGCAGAGAGAGACAGAGACATAGAGAGGCAATTGCGCTTCCCTGCTTCTCTCTCTCTCTCTCTCTCTCTCTGTGTGTGTGTGTGTTTGTGTTTTTTTGTGTGTGTGTGTGTCTGTGCGTATGTGTAAAAGAGAATGCACTCACAGTGTTCTCAGAGGAGCTGAAAAGCTTACTGGGCGGAGCTCCCCCCTTTGCTGCATCTCTGCAGGAAGCAGGAAGGGCAGGAGAGAGCTAGCTAGCCTAGCTAGGCTGACTCAGGAATTCTGGGAGTTGAAGTCCATGAGTCATAAAAGAGACGAGGTTGCTTACCCCTGAGTTGTTGGACAACAGCTTGAAGCTTGCCAGGTGAGCAGCAGATAGGAGGGGGGGGAGAAAGAGAGAGAAAGAGAGAGAGGGAGGGAGGGAGAGAGAGAGAGAGAGAGGAAAGAGAGAGAGAAAGAAGGAGAGCGGGGGAAGAGGAGTGGCAGACCAAGGGCAGATAGAGAGGGAGGAGAGAGAGAGACAGAGAGAGACCCTTTTGACATCTAAAATGAAGATAACACTGCATATATCCTTTTTTACCTTTATTATGGGTGTGGGTGTGTTTGTGTGTTTGTGTATGTGTATGTATGTATACATATACACACACACACATACACACACACAAACACACATACACACAAACACACACACACCCATAATAAAGGTAAAAAAGGATATATGCAGTGTTATCTTCATTTTAGATATCAAAATGGTTTTGTGGCTCCCAGTGTTTTGTTTTTGGTGGGAAACGGGTCCAAGTGGCTCTTTAAGTGTTTTGGGTTGCCTACCCCTGAGATAGATGATAGATAGATAGATGATAGATAGATAGATAGATAGATAGATAGATAGATAGATAGATAGATAGATAGATAGATAGATAGATAGATAGATAGATAGATAGGCAGGCAGGCAGACAGACAGACACATTCTGAATCAACCTTCAAACCCAGTGCACTGCACAGTCCCATTAATTTAACCAAAGTCACCCTGGGGAATGCAGAGTCCTGACTCCCTTGCTCTAGGAAGTGCTTGATAACCAATGAGGCCTTGCATCAGGAGAGTCCTAGTAAGTGTAAACGGTATTCCTATGGTACAGCCAATTTAAGTTTAACAAATGAGGTGGTTTTAAATTAAATTTAAATTCTAGGAGGTTAAATGATTGGATCAACACTTTTGGTGTTCCCTCAACATATTAATATTTTTCATTGGTACTACCCTCTGAACTACAGACTAGCTAATGATAGTTTAGCTTCTCAGAGAATGTAAGCAGTTGGGTTAATTCCATCAACCATGGGAGAAGCATCTATGGTAATTGTATTATGTGAACAAAGTCTATAATTCAATATTGTTTTAAAAAGTAGCTATTCTTGCGCAAGGCCATACTAGCAGTCTTCAATTGTTCAAGCTCACCTTGAACACCTGAAGTTCCTCCAGCAGCAATTCTTCCATATTTTGCCAAGAATCCTTCGGCACAGAGACGACCTTCAAGACTGTGCCAATGTCTGCCAGGCAAAGGGAAAGTATAACCATTTTGCACAAAAAAGAGGTTATAGGCCAAACAGAAAATATGAAAGTTTCTGGCTGGACAAATCAATTTACATACAAAATGCAAACATATTGCTAGTTGTTCAGCATCAATGGAGTGCATCTGATTGGGAAAGCAACTTTAATATACTTGGTTATTATTTCCAAGGGCCTTGATTTCAATATCTATTGATTTTCTAAAGTCACAGCATCAAAGAACCAGTGAGAAGTTGGACCATCAGCCTGGGACGTGAATGATTATGATGCAGGAAGTCAGGAACGTTTGCAAATAAAAATGCTCTTGCAGCTATTAAGGGGTAAGTTTGATTAAGATTGCAATGTGGATAACGTATGTTTTTTTTTCTATGCTATAGTTTTCATCCCCAAAAATCTTTTCCAACTTCTTGCCGTCTACATGTATAGGACTTGAATTCATAGAGTTCCGAGTTAGTAAGGATTTGGTTCCAATCCTTATGACACCATGGAGACTGAACATCATTTTGTGCTTCATTTATACCAGAATAATGGGATGGTTACCTAAGTCTGAATGACAAGTAAATGTATGTTTCCTGGGGTCATGGTTATTTATGGCTGCTTTGGTCATATACATTTTCAAATTAATGTATTATTCATATGCAAATATATAACATTGAAAGAAAAATACAGTGGAAAAAGCAAAGGAACTGCAGGCGGTGGCTGAAGAAAAAGAAAAATCAAGCTTAAAATGAACTTTGGAGAGGGTGCTAGGAGCTGTGTTTCAAAAAAGGAAAGTGAAGCAGATGAGGTCAGGAGAAAACCCCCACACAATATACGATGTTACTTAAACAACATTCGATTCATTAAAACAACTAACAGATATTCTATGCATGAATTTAAGGACGTCTTTCTTCTAACATATTAAAATTACAATTTAAAGGCAACTACGAATCTCTGCTCTATATTTGATTCTGCTACAATAAATAAGCTTCCTCAAAGCTATGAGACAAATCAGAAAAAGGACACCAACATATTACCTTGGAGCAAGGGACATCCTCTTGCATGCAGTTTTGGGAAGCAACTAAAAACTTGGCCTGCATCTCTATACTTACTCATCAGAATAGGAGGGAAGCAGGCATACCTGTGCCAATGAAGAGGACATCATAATGTCCATCGGCAGCTGCCACTCGGTCTACTGCAATGCGAGTGAAGATGTAGTCCACGTTGGTTTGCAGGAAGACAGGCCTTTGGCCATGGGGCAGTACTGGATTATACATTAATGGATGGTTACGAGCAAACTGGATCACATCATCAGGGTAATCCTTGGTGGAACTAAAGGTGCCAAAGGTTTTGCTGGGACACTAGAAATTCAGAGAGAAGGAAAGCAAAGAGAGGCAACGTCCCAAACATTGAAAAACGGTCTACTCATAAACGTTTCCTACCACAGCCCTCCATTTTTCCCACTTGGCTTTCATTCTATAATTTGCTTTCCTTCTATTTCAATCAAATCCCATAATCATTTTCCATTCCATGCAACTCAACTGCTGCCCCTCCCTTCTGATCTCTTGCTTCACTGTTTGCCAAACCCCAAGTTTGGCAAAAGAACCTAGAACCGTGGTGGTGGAGCCGTCTCTGGTGGCACGCGAGCCATTGCTTGGCCGAGCTGCTCCCTCCTATGTGTAGCTTTCCGCAGAGTGCACATGCATAGTTCTCTGCACTTGCGCAGTCTGGGAATAGGCAAGAGGTTATAAAGGGAGCAACTTTTGGCGGAAGCAGGCACGGAAAGTGAGGCAGCAGCCCTATGTGCGTCCCCATGCACGAGTATGCCCCTGCCCTGCCAGGCAAGTGGAGCCGCGGCATCTTCGGCAGAAGAGCGCAGGCGGGCAGCGGAAGGCACAAGGAGCCCCAGCGCAGCCCCTTCTCCCTCCCTCAGAAGAGCTGTGGGGCTCAGGAGCCTCCCCCCATGTCCCCCCACCGGCTGAGCAAGATGCCCTCCTACCCACTGCCCCACCCGCCAGAGCAACATCAAGTTGGCCATGGCCATCATGGCCACACCCACCCAGTCTACCATTTCCACCACAGCCACGCCCACCCAGCACCCGGCAATACATAAGTGGGATTTAGGTTGCAGTTTGGGCACTCAGTCTCTAAAAGGTTCACCATCACTGGCCTAGAACATAAGCAAAATTCTTATGTCCTCTCCTTCCTGGGTATGAGTCAGATATCACTCAATAATCATCCCAAGCTCTAGACTCTAGAGAGTTTTCTTGGGTAGAAACGCTTTTTTTTTCATATTTCAAGATCTCAAATCCAATGTACTTACCGTTCCTGGTCGGGGATAAGGGACCCGCCCTTGATAGGAAACCCACTGATAGTTAGGCCCCTCCTTGTGAGCAAAAGGACCAAGGAAAGCTCTGCGGATGTCATTCATGTGATACACGCAGACAGCAGAACCTTTGAAAACTGTGCTGTAACACCAGAAAAAAAAGGAACATTACAGGAAGGGTAAAGAAATGAAACCCGGAAGGAATGCGTATCCCACTGTCATCTAGTAATGTGAATTACAGATCCTGCCTGACATCTGCTCAAAAGGCACTGGGTAGCATATTTCCCTGTTTAACAATATTGTCAGGTGAGTGGGGTGGAGAAGAAAGTTTAAAAAGCAATGGAAGATTATAAAAGTTATTATATTATTATTTGTCTTTGGTTGACGTGGCTACAAGAAGTGGATACAAGAAGCCTGAACTCTGCCCATTGTTGATGGAACAAAGACTATTTTCTTTTTACCTGGAAGTGGTGAAAACTGCGTACAACAATGGGTTACGCTTATCCCTGGTTGGCAACAAGAAGACATCACCTGAGTTCAACAAGAAGGGAAGAAATCATCAGCCTGCAGCTTGACACCTGATGAATGACAAACCACTTCTATCCAAAGGAGAGAAAAACTTTCTTTCAACCCAGACATCAAAACATTCACCAAGGAAGGGATAAATCAAGCCCCCATTCCTGTACATCTTGCTACTAGAACATCCTAAACTGGTCTTTGGCAGCCTAGGGATTACTGCATTTATTTGGAAAAAAAATTTCCACAATCCCCAGCATCACAGCCTAATTTCATGTTGGCCAGGGAAAATGGGATAATATAGTCCAACTATCTGAAGAGCTCCAAGTTGCAGAAGGCTGGACTAAATCCATTTTTAAAAATAGAAGTTGCCAAAAATCAACTCTGTGAGAAGACAAGAATACCAGATGGTAATATCTGAAAAGTGAAATTATGTGGTTTCACTATTGTAATTCTGAGGATATGGAGCTCAGAATGTTATATTATATTAATATTCGGAAAAGCCAGATTGCAAATGGACATTTTTCAAGGGAAGTGGGTTGTTTTATTAAACTCTGGGAGAAAACTTTTCTGCATTTCAAAATATAATTGTTAACTTGTAAAGAACATTTCTTTTAGTTCTGAAATGGTAATTGGAACTATAATAATGCTAATGGTAATAAGTTAAGGAAGCCAAATCATTTACTGGAAGTTTTCTTACCGTTATCATTATTACAATTCCAATTATGTTAGCCCTTCCAAACTAAAAAGAAAAAAGAAAAAATGTACAATCATGCATACAGTATATTTCTGTACTACAAACTATATAGTCAGACGTGAGAGGAGAGACAGTCACCACCAAGGAAGGACAACCTGAACTCAGCTTTTTTAACTGAGATAAGACCTATTCTAAGATCAAGAATACTAAAAATAAAGAAACATAAAAATAAATTAAATGGCAGCAGAAAAGAGAAGGAAAAGCACTTAAGAGTGTGAGATAGATACATTATTCCTTCTGTCAGCTTCATGCCAACCTCATTTCTACTGCTTGATAATTTGACAACATTTTCCTCATTTAGAACCATTTCAACCCTGAACTCACGAAGGTGGTCAAAATGCGTGTCACTCCCATCACTGCCCGGTACCGCACACACCAGCCGGGCCTTCAGGAATGTTGTCCATTTGTTCACCAGGCTTCTCTGCCCACCCATATCATTCTAAAGGGAGAAGAAGAGACCTATCAAAAAAGCTGGTTGGAGAGCTGGCTGCAAAAGTTAACAGAGTTAGCAGAGATGGCTAAACTGATTAAAGAAAAAAACACAGTTGCTTTTGTTTCCACTTGGAAACCGTTTCTGGACTTTGTGCTTGAGGTAGAAAAAAAATAAACTTTGATTTTGAGTTTTACTGATTAGAAAATAATTTCTCAACCTTGACAATTTTAAGACATGTGGACTTCAACTCCCAGAATTCCACAGCCAGCATTGCTGGCTGTGGAATTCTGGGAGTTGAAGTCCACATGCCTTAAAATTGTCAAGGTTGAGAAACACTGGCATTAGATAGTTTGTTATGTAAAAGTAAAAAGTTGAGGTTTGATGCTATTATCTTATTCTACTGCACCAAAGGGAGTCGGAAGTCAATGCCTTTTCTTTCTTTTCCCCTTTTTCTACACTTTTCCCTTCCCTTTTCCCTCCCCTGTCTTTCCTATTATTTTCTTTCATATTTCTGTATTTTATGTTACAAACTAATAAAAAAGACAAAAATAAAAAAGCTGCTTGGAGAGCACAGAGAATTATGCACATCGAGGCCAGCTGATTCGGGGATCCCCAAGGAGCTCCAAATTTTTAATGCAAAGGGGCTCAGTTGGACATAGAACCTAATGCACACCTAACAATGGGCGTGAGAGGTTGTCCCAAAGGTGCCTTTATCCCAAAGGCAACTGGGCTTTCTTGTTGTTGTTTTTTCCTTAGAGAACAGTTCACTTCTCTTCGATGAGAGGCAAAATGTTTTCTGAGAAAAAAAAAAAAAACTCCCAAGAAAGTCCAGTTGCCTTTTGGAAAAAAAGCACCTTTGGGACAACCATGACCTGGGTGATTGAGAATTTCCACGGACATTGGTGAGAGGTTGATTTTTACTGCTTTCAAAGCATTGCTGTGCTGGAATCCTTTTTAACCAGGGGTCTTCAAACTTGACCCTTTTATGACTTGTGGACTTCAACTCCCAGAATTTCTCAGCCAGTGTGCCTGGCTGAGGAATTCTGGGAGTTGAAGTCCACAAGTCATAAAAGAGCCAAGTTTGAAGACCCCTGTTTTTAACCCTTCAACAGCCAGTTGTTGCTGTAGAGTCCCTTGGAAACATCTGCTCCAGGGCAGGGATCCTCACCCTTCCAATAAAGCCAGAGCCATCTATCTTCACCAGACTTTGTCTAACTCCCAAGCCTCCTGACCATCCTCATCTTGAGACTGGAGCCCATACAGCAATCTTACCCGGCAAATTTGCCCAATGCGTGCAAATGTCTGTTTGCCCAGGCCTTGGGATCCTTCCACTGCTGTTTCCCGGAAGAAAAAGAAGATCTTATCATCATCAGGGTTCTCACTCTCTGGGATCCAGAAGACATCAATGAACTTGGGTTCTTGAGTCAAAGAAATGGAAGAGAACGTTAATACAGGACAAAGCAACACAGGACATTCTTTTCAGGCTTGCAAAAGGTTGCCTTGGAGAGAGGGTAGCAAAGCAAGGTTAGAGACAGGCAATGTTGCAGGGATAACCTGCTTCCTGGATTCTGGTTTTCCTTCTACTTAAGATGAAATCTCAGCCATGAGATATTTTCCTGTGACATCTATGTCAAAGCTCCTTTTAGGGACAGATTAAGCAGGACATGGGAGATCATCCTTCTCAAAAATCAGAAGACATGATGTCTCCTTCAAGTTAAGCTAACTTTATGGATATGCCTATGTGGCTTTTATTGCAAGAATATGAAAGTGGCTTGTCCACTCCCTTTTTCTGGTTGGTTTCTTTTAGAGCCTGAGGATTCCCTAGCAGTCATCATTCAGGTATGAATCAGATCTGACTCTCCTTCACTTTCAAGATCAACCAAAGTCAGCTAGATCCTGGAACTAAATCTGAAGGCATTTGCACACAAACTTCATTCTGAGGCTGCAGGCCTTCCTCATATAGGTAAGAGAATTTCATGGGACTGTGATTTTGGACTGTCCACAGCTGTGGTTAAAAAATAAAGAGTCAATATTAAGGCTATGGCAGTGTGACTGAAGATCCACCTGTTTATTATATGCTGCACATAAAAAAACAGATTGCACTTTAATTGCACTGTCACAGCCAACTTCTTTTTTTGACCAAATCCTGAGGACATTCCCTGCTTGTTTTTATCATTAAATTCAGTTATTCTCTGTTGTCCTTGAAAAAAAAGTGAGAAGAAAGACAACTAGTTGGTTTAAGACATTTAGAAGAGAGGAAGTTCACAGGATTGCCTTCCCCAATAATTTTCTTTCGATGTGTTGGGATTTATAATCCCAGTTTTCCAGCCAGTGCAATCATCCAGATTGTTACTTCCATAAATTTGAAAACAACAGTGTAGAACTGCTTTAATGAATCGAATCAAACAAAACAGAAAACACACATCCTGCAGAGCATTCCAATGTTTTCCCTTCCACTTTCTCTTCCTGAAATCTCAGGTCATAACAGTGACAAGCTTTGATCACTAGATGGCAGCTTCCATTCATAAGTCACTAAACAACAAGTGAGCAACTTGACTTGCCACAAGACAGACCAGAATTGTAAGATATATGTAAGATAGCCTTTACTGTCTTTTTTTACTGTGAGCACAATGGCATACATTAAAAATGAAATTCTGTTGCCTGCTCTGAAAAGTGTACACATACATATCACAAATACTGCATCCAGTTTTGGTCACCACGATGTAAAAAAGATGTTGAGACTCTAGAAAGAGAACAGAGAAGAGTAACAAAGATGATTAGGGAACTGGAGGCTAAAGCATATAAGGAAAGGCTGCTGGAATTGGGTATGTCTAGTTTAATGAAGAGAAGGACGAGGGGGGACATGACAGCAATGTTCCAATATCTCAGGGGCTGCCCTAAAGAAGAGGGAGTCAAGCTATTCTCCAAGCGCCTGAAGGCAGGACAAGAAGCAACGGATGGAAACCAATCAAGGAGAGAAGCAACCTAGAACTAAGGAGAAACTTTCTGACAGTTAGAACAATTAACCGGTGGAACAACCTGCCTCCAGAAGTGGTGAATGCTCCAACACTGGAAGTTTTTAAGAAGAGACTGGGCAGCCATTTTTTGAAATGGTATAGGGTTTCCTGCCTGAGCAGGGGGTTGGACTAGATGACCTCCAAGGTCCCTTCCAACTTTATTATTATTATTATTATTATTATTATTATTATTATTATACAAATATGCTATATCCAACATATGTATCTACCTAAACACTTACATATAACTATTAATCAGTGTCCATTTTGAATACATAGCGGAAAGAGGAAGCTTGAGAATTCAGAAGGTTAATACTGTATGGAACAAAACTGTGACAGAATCCGGATGTTTTGCTTCAGATACCACAAAGCCCACCTCCCAGAAGGTAACAAGGAAAACAGGTTGTGAAGTAATAATGAATTCTGGATTCTCTGAGACTTTAAAGGGCATTGTTTCTTTCAACCTCTGTTTGTCTCCCTTTCTAAGACTGACTCACTTCCTGCACTATAGGTCCCCTTCTCACAAACCCTCCACTGACCATTGAGCCATCGGGAATCATGCTGCTCAGTGCGGACAGAAGGCCTCGATCCCAGGCTGCGGAAGATGGTGAAGTCTCGGCCCATCAGATCAGTAGCCACACCAGAATAAAGCTCTTCACCTGCCCAGTGCAAAAGGAGAGAAGTTTCAAAAGCTTTCAGGCTTCCAAATCTCCATTGACATCTCAGAGAATGTTCCACATTTTCTTTGTGTGGCCCCTGGGAAAGATCCCAAGGTATCAGTTGAGGAGGGGGCACTGCGTTAAGGCGAATGAACTATCATCCCAGCAGCTGCATCTTTAGTGTAAAGTGTCAGCTGATCCCATCTGTTCCCAGGGCAGATGGAGGAAGGAAAGATAGGGGTTTCAAAGGATCCCACATGAGATCTTACATGGGTCTTGTTTTCTTGTCTCACCTTTATTTGGGGGCTAGGTCATTGTTTGGGGGCCTTTCCTGTTACCTGCAAGAACTGAGGCAGCTGTGTGATTTGGATCATAGGGACTTTTGCCTTTGCCATCCTCCAGGCTCTCGAAGCCGAGTTTGAAGACAGAGTCCTAGAGAAAGGAGCAAACATGTCCATCAAGAGAAGCGTGGAGCTCCTGTGATTCTTTTGCTTACGTTCGTCTTTACCCCCCAGACACATGTACACTTTATGAACCTTTGTGCATCACTCACCTCCACACGTTGGCCCACTTCTACAAAGCCACAGATGGGGTGAAAAGCCCCAGTGCCACAGGAGTACAGGTGCGTGCGGTTGTAGAGATGTAGGATCTTAACAAAATTCATACACTCAGCCTGAAAAGCAAGAGTGGATTCTGTAACTGAGCAAGCCTAATAAACGACTCCAAGTAGAAAACAAACGGCTGAAAGAGAAGGAAGGAGAGTAGCTGGAAAGCAGTGGTCAAGTAACAGGAAAGCTTGCAGAAAGCAGAGAGCATTTCTCCAACTTCCCATCAAATGCTTTTTTTCAGGTGCCAAAAAGAGCAACTTCCAGAGCTGACAAAAAACTGGGAATGGAGAAAAAAGAGTCCAGAGCAAGACATGAAGCACAGTTTGTTGGCATTTGCTGTCTCGGTGCATTCCTTAATTATGGAACCCTCCCCTGACGTTGATGGAATGCCAGCACATGTGGGAGCCTTCCTTCACTTTCGTTTACATCAAATGAGATGGAATAGTGGTGCTGTGAGGCCCATGACTCATTGGGATGACAGCACATCTTGCTGCCTGTTTTTCCCAGCAGAGGGCACTATAGGGAGAGCAGCAGTTCTGCAGCAAAAACTTGAGGCAACACTCAGAAAGTCAAAGAGATTTGGGGATTGACGGGGTGGGGGTGGGAGATTTCGTGCCTGCCACCAGCAGATACAGAGAACTCTGCTCAACTGCCACACGGTCTACTTCCTTCTCCCCCAGGCTCTGTCAGGAGGTAAACATTTGTCTGATTTAGTGTTAAGCAGGATTTACTCATTAAAAAGTGTCAGGTTATTTAAATGTCTGGAATAACTCAGGCAGAAGGGCAACCTTTCCTTCTCAAGAAATGGGCCATAAATAGAAGTGGTGGTGGTGGTGGGGAATGATAAGTGTACAGTGAGGAAAGGAGAAGATATCCAGGGCCTCATCCAGCACCACTAGGCACTCAAGAACCTGCCTTACAGCAGAGTTTTTCAACCTTGACAACTTTAAGATGTGTGGACTTCAAATCCCAGAATTCCCCAGCCAGCATGCTGGCTGGAGAATTCTGGGAGCTGCAATCCACACATCTTAAAAAGTTGCCAAGGTTGAGAAATGCTGTCTTACAGAATAGTTCTTGAAAGGTAACAAAGAACAAGCCTATTGAAGCCACCAAGGCTGAAGAGAGCTGAATGAAACAGGCCAAAAGGAGCCACTTCACATGCAGCCATTAGTCAGTTGCAAAGCAAACAAGTGCAATGGCAAGGATTTGCAAGCAAAGATGAAAGGAAGGGGGGGCAGGGGGAGGGGAAAAGAGGAGTCCCCATAATGTCAACACAATGCTCAGGAGGGGATCGAAGTGGGGGCAGAGTTCATGCTAAAGCCCTACCACTGGCTCAGTAGTTCAGCTTTTGAAACAGACAAACCTTAAAACCAGAAAAAAATGTATTAAGAGAGTGCGTATAAACAGGCTGTGTTTATGACTATATTTCATTTTCTTCGGTTTCTAGTGTTTCCCTTCTAACTTCATGTGTCTTCCTCTTTCACACATAAAGGGCCTCCCAATACCCATCAATAATCTGAATAAAAAATGTTCCATCCCCCCCACCATATCTGTTTTACAACATTATAAGGAATACCTGCCATAAAAGAAATAATTCGAAACTATTAACAAGGGTCTAGAACAGTGTTCTCAACCTTGACAATTTTAAGGCATGTGGACTTCAACTCCCAGAATTCCACAGCCAGCAATGCTGGCTGTGGAATTCTGGGAGTTGAAGTCCACATGCCTTAAAATTGTCAAGGTTGAGAAACACTGGTCTAGAACAAGTTGCCATGCCAACTCACTGTCGGACAATTCACCATGACCAACTCGCTGTGGGACAACTCTTTGTAAGACAAAAGTTACACTAATATCAAAGAAATGATGAAAAAGAATCATTATAGAAAGGATGCGAAAGAAAGGACAAAATGAAATGTGAATGGTAAAAATTAAAATAATGTTTAATTTATTTTAAATAATTAAATAGAACTGTTAAATTGTCCACAGTGAATTGTCCCATGGTGAGTTGGCCATAGCGAGTTGCCCGGCAGCGAGTTCGCTGTGTCTGGTTGGCTATGGCGAGTTGGCGTTGGCAAGTTGTCTCATTCCCATTAGTAAGGTATCACTAGTAAAAGAAGTCATCTGCACTAAGTTATTCTGTAAAAGACAGAAAGGAAGTCTCCCAACAGAAAGACAGAACAATATCCAGGATCATTGCAATGATCATTGCTAGTAGTGGAGAAACTAATTAGAAGTGGGGAAACTAACATATCTGTGTCTGTGTCTCTGTGTCTGTCTCTGTCTCTCTCTCACTCTCTGTGCGTGTGTGTCTTTGAATCAACATGGCCTCCTACCATCTGCCTGGACAAGTTCCTGCAGTTCTGTTGGCTGTTTTCTAGGGCTGAGAGAGAGTGATTGGCCAAGGCCACTCAGCTGAGCTTTATGCCTAAAGCAGAACTAGAACTCATGGTCTCTTAGTTTCTAGCTTGGTGTCTTAACCACTACACCAAACTGGTTCCTATCTATAGCTACATCTAAAGTTCCAGCAACTAAAAAAGAACAGGAGAAAGAGTAAATGCTAGAAAAGGGAAAAGAATGTTTCTTGTGAAAACATTGTCAGTTTTCATGAAAGGATTTGAGTGCAGTTGCATTTAAGTCTACGATAACTGAGACCCCTTAGTTCTTCTTCATTCCTTCTTCTTCCCTTCTATAGAACCCCAGTAACCTACAATTGCAATCTCAGTCCAAGGCCCCTATGTGCCATTTTGCATTTATGTTTTTCAGCAGGCAAGATATCCCCCTCTAGAAAAAATCTTGGATCTTCTTTTTGAGCCTTCTCTTTGAGGTTAAAGTTACTGACTTGAGAGCTAGCAGCCAAGGGAAACCATAAGCCAAGAACAAAAACTATGCTCAATGGACAGAAAACAGTTGGCCTCCCATGCCTAGCTGCTGGTAATAGGAAAGGGAAATGAGTCAGATGCCATGGTGACAGATCATTGCATTAGGCACGGGCCAGATGTTCCGGTCTTGCTGTCTCATCAGCTCTCTCAAAGCCTGGACATGCACCAGCGAATTTCTGAGGAATTTTCCTCCTGGCCATAATACACCACTGATATATCATTCATATGACAATGTGGCAAATGGCCCTCAAGGCAAACAGCAGGTAGAGCAGGGCTGGGAAGCGTATTTCCTTTATGCTACGGAAAATGAATTGAATTGGGTCAGTTTGCAAGTTAAATCCAGATTGTGGCTCAGTGGTAGACTACATGCCCTCTAAGAGTTTGCCTTCCTCAGTCATTTGTTGAGCAAATTGGACCAATATTCTGATATAAGCTGGCCATAATTGAATGCACCAATTCCCACAGAAAAACCACATAGCATTAACTAACCAGCAGCCATATGTATGATCTAATCAAGAGCAAGATCATTGTCACTTCCACGGCAAAGTATATCTCAGTATATCAGGTCTGTTACTTCTCATCTTCACAGTTCTTCTTTTACTTTCATTGAATGCTTCTGGATCTCATAATTGAATCTAGTTGTTTAATTCAAATTTATTTCCTTTCTTAACTGATATTGATGTTCATACTGACAGCCATAGTCAGATCATGTAGCTACTACTTTGATAATACTTCATCTAGTCTGTGATGTTAGCACTGAATTCAAGCAAACTTCAGTCATAAAGAAAGCTAGGTTTAAACCAGGGCTCTTCAAATTTGGCCCTTTTATGACTTTGTGGACTTCAACTCCCAGAATTCCTCCGTCAGGCACATCCACAAGTTCATAAAAGGGCCAAGTTTGAAGAGCCCTGGTTTAAACAGACCAGGTCTTTTCTCCATCTCTTTCAAGATTGTTTCAAAACTTTGTACAAATTTGTACACAGGGAAATAGCACTCATAATCCTTAGTTAATGATATTGGGGATTGAGAGTTTTGCTCTGGTTTTTTTTTTAATAAATTTTTATTAAATAACAAAAAAAGAAAAAGTTTAGAAACATTAAACATGGTAAATCAGACTTGACCAACATCTCAGTTCATTCCTATTCATAATTAATTAAACTCTATACAAAAACATCACTCTAAACTCAATCTTAACTTATCTCATCACAGTGACCTCCAAATTCCCCCCCCCCCGCACCATTTATAAAATTTATTCCATATTTGGTAAAAATCCATAGCATCCTGATTTTTGAGTCTTTTAGTTAACCTATCTAATTCTGCGCGATGCATAATTTTATAAATTAAAATTTCCTCACTAGGTACAGCTGAATTTTTCCAATTCTGAGCGAATACTATTCTTGCCGCTGTAACCACATGAATAAATAAATACACATCCTCTTTACTAACATTTTCTTCAACAATTCCTAACAAAAATGTCTCAGGCTTATATTGAATATTTTGTATGCTCATTTCTGTTACCCATTTCCAAACCATACGCCAATACCCCTGTGTTTCCTTACATGACCACCACACATGAAAAAAAGTGCCCCTTTCTTTTTTACATTTCCAACATAAGCCTGAGTATCCTTTATACATTTTGGCTAGTCTTGCTGGAGGAAGATGACATCTATAAATCATCTTATACGAATTTTCTTTATAGGATGACGCCAATGTAATTTTATTGTTTCGCATCCATACCTGTTGCCATTGATCCAAATTAATATTATGTCCTAAATCCATCGCCCATGTCACCATTAGAGAGTTTTGCTCTGTTGACTGATAATTGTTCTGTTTCTTAATCATCCCCACAACAAAACAGAGCAGCCCTGTGAGTTACTTCCATTCTCATGAGAGAAACTATCTGCTGCTTTGTGCTCAGCCCAGAACTGGGCTGTTTTTCATAGAAAGAAAACCAATTTGGTATGATCTTCCCCTTTATATGTGTGATGTCCTAATACAGAACCATCACTGATTAGGAAGCACGTTCTTATGAACAGGACACAGCAGGGAAGTCTTTGCTTTGTCTTAAATGGCACGGCTGTCAAAAGTTAAATGTACTAATTAATTACAACAAGGGACATGCTAAGAATCTCTCTCATTCTCTGTCTATGTGTCTCTTTCTTAGACACAAACATACACAGATGGATCTCAACCATTTGTCCCATGTACTGTGGAGATTTTAAGTAAACAGGTCTGAGGTTGTCACATCCTGTCATCACTTTTGAGTAGCCCAAGAAGACAAATAGCCCCTTCTCCTTTTGCAGGATGACCAAACAGATTAACTGTGGAGAGCTATTTGAGAGGGGAAGGGGGAGGATTCTGGCACAGATAGAGGTACCTTTCCTCCATCAATAGCAGTTTAATTTTTCTGGCCACCTGCCTCCCAAGCCTCCTTGCTATCTACTGGGCTCAGTGGAGCAGAAGAGCGGTTGGTTCTCCAGCAGGATTTGTTGGGTTCCTATCTGGAATGAAACCTGTGGAAGACAAGTGCCTCGTGGCTGCTCTGACTTTTCTGCTCTGCCAATGAATGGAGCAAAAGCGGGAGCAGAAAAAGAGATGTTCCTGCACCACATGTCTTCTCTGTTGTGTTTTGGAGTGATGCCATGGCAACTCATTTGAGTTTTAAGCAGGAATAACATGACTTGGGACAACTCTTGTGCTGGCACAATGCCCAGCTGTCTTTACTCTGATCGCCTCCTTGCTGGGATTTTGTTTCTGGGTCTGTTTCTCTGATGCAGAATAAAAGTTGTAACTCAATGGTAGAACACACTTATATCATAGGCAAAAAGTCCTAGATTTAGTCCCACTGGGGACAATTGGAAAAGCCCTGTTTGAAGCCGTTGATCTGTTGTCAATATTTGTACTCCACTAAATGGACCATATCTCTTCTTTGCTTTATTCACAGTAAGACCACTGCCATTATACAATACACTAAATCCTAAATACATGTTAGCAAAATACAATTGCTCAGGTTGCATAACATGACATGCCTGAACAAATAAATCACATTATGACATAACAGGATGGCTTGCTTCCTATAGGATGCTAAGACATGGCTGACTTTCCATAATATATTAAACTACAAACTACTGAGCCCTTTTAATCCAGACCATATGTATTATGAGAAGCCAATAACTGTATTTTTGATGCTTCATACATTCCTCTGGAGTCAGTCTGGCTTGTTCTTGCTGTTGCTCAACACACAAATAATTAACTATACTGATGAAGTTATCATGACCACATCACTGCTGCTTGCACTTGGCCAAAAGGCCAACAGAGTTCAGAGCAGCATGCTATGCTGTACTTTTCAAACAGAAAATATCCCAGTACTTCACTGGAAGCTAAGAAAGAGCACTGGGGCAAAGTTGGTCTCTCTTCTTCAGCAGCCATTTTAGGAATTAGGGAAGCCAACTGTTGGGAACATGAACCATATATTTTCCGTACCAATCCTATCAGCTCTATGGATTGAAGCAATTCAGGTCCCAAAATTACAAGCATCTGATATATCCACAATCTTGGTCTTGAAGCTTTTAGGTCCCACATTTCTCTTACTCATTCCCTTATTACTACATATTTAAATTATTGTGAAATAATTTACATGAGATTGTCTTTAAAAATAACAAAAGGGCTCCAGTTGGTAACAACAGAGCAATGAGGTGTTAGCGTGTGAGAGTGACTAACATCTATAATGAATAAATAAATTATTATTATTTGGTTGCTGCCCTGGTTATCAATAAACATTCAAGTTGACCTTTCAAGTCCAGGAGGCTACTTTTGATTTATACACCCCTCTTGAGACTTGACACCAGGGTGCCTCAGACATAGCCCAGCTCCTGTAGGTTCAGCCCAGCTCCTGTGGGCTCAGAGGTGATCTTTTTCTGTAAAGATTCCCATTCTATGATACACAATGCTCATGATGATAGATCTGATATCTTCCCCTACTGATTTTCTATAAGGAGATAAAATGTTTTTAAAGGCCATTTCAGAGTTGAATAAAGTGTGAGACTTTATTGGATGGATAAATTTACTGTAAGTTTTGATGAGGTAAATATTGTGTATTTATTTGGGGGAGGCTGAACCTGATTTGAAGAAAATACCATTTCACTTAACTTTTTTTTCTAGACTTGACCTCATGCTGCTCCTTTTTTGGACAACCTCTATGAGTTATAACCAGGGTGCTGAGCTCCTTCTTGCTGAGCCTGACACTTATGAAGGCACAAATCTGAAGGTGTCCTGGTTCATCTCCACTCCTGCCAAAATTGTGGGAACCTTTTTGTTATCTCCTGGAAGGTCAGGATGGGTCAAAGCAAAAGAAGAATCTCTAAGTGCACCAACCAGTCCCTCTAAATGACCTTTCCAACCCTTACAGGGCCTCACCCGGCCAGGGCAGAATGCTACCCGTTGACAGACTGAAGAGAGAAAACATTTTACAGGTAAGAAAATTCATTTTTATAAGATGCTCAGAGGCATCTACAACAATGGAAGATCTTGGGTAAATCAGGACCCTTCAAGCTCAAGTTAACTTAATATAATGAAAGTATTTGTGGCTATCTGTTCATTCACTCTGGAAGCATCTGATTTGCATAACATTTCTTAGTGCTCCTTCTCTCCCTTATGACTTTATTTATGTTCAAAGACCAGATATGAGAAAATAGAAATTCCAAAAAGATGATGATGGTAAGAAGAAGAAGTAAAAATGGTAAAACATTAAAGTAAAATAAAGCAACAATAAAATAAGAACCAGTGACATATATAGCTTAATTAATATATTTCACCCAATGATCACTTACATTGATATCTTTGCCTGCCCAGTTGCATTCCTCCCTCCATTCCACAGGTGCGGGCCAATAAATCTGTGAGAGTAAAGATGGCAGAAATTAATGGCAAAAACCTACCAATGCCACTCCAAGAGGGTGATCTTCTAGTCCAGTCATTCATTACAGCATTGTCAAATGTTATTAAAGCCCTGGTACTAAAGCCATTCATTGGGATGCTGAAGGCTTCCCTTAGTCCTGATCTACAATTTCCCTGCTCTTTATGTCCTAGCGCTATCAGAATGCTGTAAAAGCAATGGTGGGCTAATGGGCTGCAAGGCTGAGATCACCATAAATGCTTTGTATAGTGCAGCTCACCCAAATTAATTTTATTGAATTTTATATGTGTATTAGTTGGGCAGTTATGCACATTTGTTCAGTAAACAAATAAGCAATCAAGCAATCTATTGGCTGCCCTTCAGACATTAACTCTGTGAAAACAGCAAAGTGCTTGACAATAGGTATTGCAAAGAGAATCTGATAAAAAGCAATAAGAGCCTTGGTTCTTATTTTTAAAAATTAAACAGCTAATGTGCAGAAACTGAGCAGCGAATGAACTAATCTCTTGAAGCAGAGATTCCACAGACTGAGGTGCTGCCACAGAAAACTGGTGTTTCAGGAGAAAGGGGTCAAAGGTGGTTTGGCTGTATTGTGTCGTCAAAGCCTTTCTCTGCTGGGCCGGAATGCAGTTTGTATTGATAGTCCACGGTAGAGAGTATCAGCACACTCCCCCCACCCTCCATCCCATGTCATTAAGCAGGGAACCTTCCCCAAGACATTTTGTGAGGCTCATTTTCATGAGGAGGAGAATGTCTCTTTCCTCAGTGAGGAGAAGCTGCAATAAATTCCAAACCAGAACAGGCCATTGGAGAACAAACATTTTAAAACGTCTGACTAATGTTCTTCTTTATTCTTAATAAAACAGCTGTATCCCACCAAATTCTCAGACCCAAGCAGTTTACAGCATTTAGTCGATCTTGAGTAATCTCCAAATAGATTTTATTTGTCATATTTATTTGCTGCCCATCTCATGGATAGTGGGACCTATATAAACTGGGCCAAATCTCCTCCCACAAACTTTTGTGGAATAATCATTCCCTCCTCCATAACGAAAGGGAGGAGAAGGAATATTTGGGTAGGGTAGCCACTATGTTGTGTCTTTCCAAGGCAACACAAGCCATTGGTTGTGCTGACGGGGATGGATGCAATCCAACATCCCTGGAAGAGCCAGGTTGAGGTACAGGCCTGTTGTGGGATAATCATTCCCTCCTCCATAACAAAAGGGAAGAGAAGGAATATTTGGGTAGGGTAGCCAATATGTTGTGTCTTTCCAAGGCAACACAAGCCATTGGTTGTGCTGACGGGGATGGATGCAATCCAACATTCCTGGAGGAGCCAGGTTGAGGTACAGGCCCGCTGCAGTACATAGGCTTGTTACCTTCCTGTCATGCTTGCTAATGTTGTCCAGGCTCAATGATGCCATGTAGTTTTTCCCCCCCACAAAAAGCCGGCCCCTTTCTTCATCCAGGAGCAGCGCATTGTAGCAACAAGAGCGTTCCAACTCATAGGTGCGCAGCCCATGTCGCATCTTCAGGTCTGGAGAGAAAATAGAGGATGGACTGTTACACAACTACAAAAATATACAATTCTATTTATATTCTGCAGGCCAGAATGAAGAGAATCAGATGAACCAAGTGTAAGGCAAGCTAAAATAAATGAAAAGAACAAAATATTTCATTATGGGTACGTGTATACTTTCTATGCAGGGAACAAAGAATCATACTTGCTGCAGACTGTTGTAGGAGACTAACTCCATTTGTGCATTTCAAGAGTCCATCTGGTGAATAATTTTGTATAAATGGTTCTGGTAATCATGTTCATGACCTATGAAAAATGTAGGAGTGCCGTTCTGCTACTTGCCCATTGGGCCCATGTGGAATAATAAGAAATTATGTGTTCAAAGATAAAAACAGACTTAAGAAAATGACTGAATGGCTATACTGAGATGTGTCCATATCAGAATGAAATTATGCATACAGATATAGTGACTGAACAGAACTAAGTGATTTCTTTTTCCAGACAAAGCTGTAAGGATGAAACTTTAAAATTATGTTTACTGTATGCTGAAGAGAGAAAACAATTGCAGTTTTACATCTCTTGTGCCTTAAGCAAGACATTTTTACACACAGAGAGATACACATGTACCTTATTACAGAATCAAATTATTAAAATTAAGTCAGTCAATACAGAAATAGGAAAAATGCAAAGTTGAACATATAAAGTAGTGAATGCAGTTCACATTTCAAAACAATCCTCCAATCAGGACTTTTTGTGGTGAAATGTTTGTTCAAATGTAGAAAGATACGTAAGTTCTTCTGACTGCTGTAATAACTGAGAATGGAATTCCTTGTAACAAATTTTTATCATTTATTGGTTTGTTTGTTTTTTGAAACCATCAACACTTGCAGTATTCACTTCCTATTATCTTTTAAACCATTGGAATATAATTCATAATTATGACACAAAACTACATCATATTAACCAATTATGTATTTTGAGAACCACATCTCCAACCATTTGTTCTGAAAATATGCACTGGTGTCTAACAGACATGAGTTTAATGAATTAATTATAATTTTAAATCTATGGAACTGTGATGTGACAAAATGTTCCCAAATGGTTCCCTATTGACATTCATGTACTGGATGCTCAAGTTCGTAATTCTATGCCTTAATAACATATAATTAATATAACTAATTTAATATATTATAATGGCTGTTTATTATTACTAATTATAATTTTAGTTTTTTGTAAAGTACAATTAAATTCTCTAATATTAGAAAGAATCGCAACCCATGATTTATGGCTCATTTCTAGGAAGTTATAATTAAAAATGGCACATTGTATTTCTGCTGCAACTCTTTAAACATACAAAAAAACCCTATCATCTGATCCCCATTAATTAATCTATAGTACACAATCACCCAAGATTTTCAATAAAAGGATTGGCTTGCTAATTTCTCTTTTGAATTCTTCCCATAAGGTTAATTTAGCAGGATCAAGGGGATCGAATCAGACTTGGTATGCTGGAAGCTAATGCAAGGATGAATCCCTAGTTTCTGAATATCAATCTCCAATATATAAGAAGTGTTAATATGTTGATGCACACATGCTCATGAGAGAAAGACACACACACACACACACACACACACACAGAGACAGAGAGAGAGAGAGAGAGAGAGAGAGAGAGAGAGAGAGAGAGAGAGAGAGAGAGGTTTTAGTTGAATTCAATCTTTGACCACCTCAAAACTGTCCAGAGAGGTCCTTCAAAACTTCAATCCTGTTTCAGATCAGTTAATAATATATCAAAAAATGTCAAAAACCGTCATTTAATTGATATGGAAGATTGAGGTTTGTCAGTGATGATATAACCTTAATCTGAACTTTATCCCTAAGTCTAACTGATCACTTGAGTATTCTACTGTACTGTACAAAGTACTGCACTTTATGTTCTCCTTCCCTGAAAAGGACAAACTGAATCTCCCTGCTGCCAATTTGCACAAGCTTAAGTTTCCAAATGCAAACCAAACAGTAAAGCTGAGAGAGGACAGCCTGCTGTACATTGTTAAAATTCCCATTAGTTCTCACTAATATTATTTGAAACAAATAATGCATTTTCAGAGTTCCTAACCAAAAAAAAAAAAAAAAAAAACAAATGAAAAAAATTACAAATAACTATTTGCCAATATATTTTGTCAAAAGGCTTTTCTGCAACTAAGCCTCTACAGACAAATATTAGGTGCCTAAAGCTATCCTCTGGCCTCTGAGCCCTATTCACTCCTCCATTTTTTTAATTCACACTACTCATGTCTTAAATTATCATTAAATCCTTGAACATTCCTGTCACTTTGCTGCATTCAACCCAGCAATCATAAACAAGTAAATGGAAAAGTCCTATAGGCTGAACTGGTAAAAGCCCTTGGGTTGTAAAGATATTAGGAAGATAACCTTTAAATCTGTCTTCTTTCACAAATGACTTACCCATTTCACCCATTTATAGGGATTTCTACACATTTTAAATGGCCTGTTGCTTACTAGCCTGGAAACTAAGTCTTCCGTGTGAAACAAGCAAGTACACCAGCTTATTTTTTTCACCCAACAAACATTGTCTCCTGTTGGACGGCAGAAAATCCCCCCTTTTTTTGCACCAAGCATTGCCTTGGACTCAAGGGGTATCTCTCTCTCTCTCTCTCTCTCTCTCTCTCTCTCTCTCTCTCTCTCTCTCTCTGTGTGTGTGTGTGTGTGTGTGTGCTGAAAAATCCAAGTAATGGCATTTCTGAATCCAAGATTCACCTCAGCAGTTTGTGATTAACCTGCTCCAACGTAGAGCCATTCAACAAGCCATTTACAGAGAGCTGGCTGTGGAGGAAACTACTATTATAATCTGATTGCCCCCCATTCCAAATCCAATTTCTGCCTGTATCAAATCCCACCTTTAACTCCCCTCTTTTCAGCCCGCTCTTTGATTGGTCCCACCAATTTTAATAGGTTACCAGTCTCAACCAGCGTGACATTAATCTCCCAGCACAACAGGCCTCTGCTCAGAGAAAGGCCTCTTTCTTTACACACGAAGCCTAATCTGCCTTCAGCAGCAGGAACAAATAAGCCATTGTGAGAAAGTGAAAGAAAGTGACTGGCAGGGGAGTCGTCCACCCGCTAATGAGCTGTTGCCGATGTCAACTGCAAGGGCTGACAGAGAAGTCACAGCCGGATCAGCTGCACCAACTTATTTATTTCATTAAATTTGTATCCTGCCTTTTTTTTCTAGGAGCAAAAGGCTGCATACGCTACACTCCCAGCATCTGTTTTTCCTTTCAATAACCCCACAAAGTAGGTTAAACTGAAATTAGTCCAGTTTACTCAGTTTAGCTTATTTGGGCTTTGGCCTCCAGTTTATTCCCAGTTAACCTACTTCAGTTTAAACTGAGGTAGATTAAACTGGACACCAATGCCATCCAGCAATTCTGATTTCTTTGATTTCCAACTGCAGTAAATGACCAGAATAAACAACTGCTCCCCTTTGAGAAGTGCAATGCCATATTGGTCAATCTAACCTGACTTTGGATCAACTTAAAACCAAGTTTTTGGAATAAAAGAACAATGATGAATATCCTCCAAACTTTCCTGCTTAGAATGAGTGCTTCACCTTCAAAAAGGCCATTTGCTCTCACTTCTTCCCATGTATGGTGTCTTCCTCCACCTCGTGGACAACATTTCTTCCCATCCCGCAATTCATAGTCCTTACAGCTGAAAGGCTAGGTTAAGAATTTGAAGATTGAACAACTTTCTCTGGCCCACAATTAAAGTTTAAGATAAACTATTCCAGCATGTCACCAGATTTGGCCAGTTGATAGGACTGGTGTTTGGGAGAAAGAATGAAGTTCAGCAGCAACTGTGATCACATCTTCACTGGCCAATCTAACAAGAGACCTAGCATGACACAAATCAAAATCTACCAAAATATGGTACTGATTTTAAACTAATTCCAAACACACTTATTGCAGTTTGGGTACGGCTAAATTTATTTATCACTAGAACAGGGAATGATCAAAGGTCCATGGACAGATATGGTGCATCTTAATTTATTTTTAACTCTATATATGTAGAAAGAGAGGATAACTGAGTTTTTATTAGACTAGATTTAGAAAGGAATAATAATTATAAGCCTTTTATATTAATATTTTTTTTAAAAAATAATATCAACAATGTTTTAAGTGAATGGAATTTTCCCTAAATCAAGCCCAAAATGAGAATAGATTACTGAATATATTATAGGAAATCATTACTACAATGGTATATGACAGTTAATTTCTTATTTCACATTCTCATGTAGCCAAATATCTTTCTATCTTGTTTCTTATAAAAAATATCCTTTTCAAGCCTTATTAATGAACTTTCTGATCTCCGTGAAATTTTTCCTGTTATTTTAAACCTTAGCTAAGTTTGAAAATTTCAGCAGGGCTGATCTAATTAACGCTTGTTTGGATGAGAGACCCACTAGGAAATTCTAACCTTGTAAACTAGACTGTGAATCAAAAATAACGTCCTAGAAGAAGGCAATGGCAAATTACATTATTGTTAAGGCCAGGAAGCTATAAGGGTATATCTGTAAAGATGTCAGGAGTTGAGCTTGACTCAAAAGAGACTCTATCTTAATTTTAAGGCCATTTTCAAGGATTTGTAATTCTTACTATTAATCATTTCTAGCAATCCAATGAATAGGACATAGTGGATTACATTTAAGTCAGTAACATGTTCTGAACATTTTCATTAATAGGTATCAATTTATTGTCTATTAATCTGTTTTACTTAAAAATAATCATTGTACTGCTCTCTGTGATCAGACCTTTGCCAAGACATTTCATACATTTTAAACCTCTGGAGTATTATTAACATCACCACTTAAACACTAATGTTAGAAGCAAATCAATTTTCTATTTTGGATTTCCCCAGAATATTCAGAATGGCATAAATTCTTAGGCATATCCATCTCTACCATAAATTCACAATAGTTGATTTGAACTCAATACAGACCTCAATTCCCTTGAGAGATCATGCCATGCAATTAAGGAAAGTTGCTGTATGCTTCACAGGACTTGGAGATAGGAATACAGCCCAGTTTCACTTTACTAATAAAAGAATAAAGTTATTCCAGATTCTGATCAACAGACCTTTCTTGTCCAAGCACAGGTCAGGCATTTTTTTTACCCTAATTACAGCCTAAAGTATTGGGACACAATTTGGGTGTCCCAGGTGTACAACAGAGAAAAAGGGGCAAATGAGTCCTCCCAAGAGGCAAAACGTCCGTATATAGTTATACTGTAGATTAGTAACTGTCACATTTAGTCCCAGATCTTAATTTGCACAAAGATCAGCTCTATCTCCACTTATTGTTTCATGGCTCATCTCGAGAAGACTTTCCCCTTAACGCCATTCACCCCATCCTGGTGACAAGAGGATTGTTCTATCAGAATACAAGAGATTCAACAGAACCAAACTTGATTTCCATTCAAGAGAAACTCTCTTGCCTTCCCACCTCTCATCCCATCCTTACCATGGAAGGAAAACTTCACACGGGGATTGGTAGTAGTAGTTGTAGTCGCTTTCCCAGCCAGCAACAGAAGGAAGCCCAGTGTCTGGATCATAGCAGCTGCTGTCTCTTCTTCTCTAGACTCTGAACTTTGGGTGGCTGAAAAATGGAAAAACAAGAATGAGACTATGCTCTCTACTCTATCTGCTACCCATAGAGGTTAACTCCTCCATTTTGTATGTAATTTTCATCCTACTTCAGAAAGCTTGAATAAATCACAGTGCAAATGATAACAAAGGTTAGATCTGGCTATTTTCTTCCCATTTTCGAAAGGTGATGTGGAGCGTTCTGCATCCTCCAGGAAAGTCCCTCAAAACCTGAAATTATAGTAGATATCCTGTTGGGACAATCTGTTTCAGAATGCCAGCATCTCTTGCTATCTTCAGATCCAACACTAAATGCAGCTTCCTCCAAGCCTCCTGAAGTCTTTCATTTCCTTCTCTATCAGATACCCAAAAGTTATAAATAAATGCATAATCTGTTGTGGCTATGTGCAAAGGGTTACAAAATAATGCATAATTAATATTTAATTTAATATTAATAATTAATATTTAAACAGATCAGACTAAAACTTGGCAGACTTATTTGCTTTGCCTAGCAGACCAGGAAAAATAAATACTGCCAAGACAGTTAAAAAGCACTTTTCCAGAATATTCTTCTGCAGTATCTGTATTATGCAAATCTGCAATTATGTAGATGTATTCTCTAGAAAGCAGAGCAACATTTTAAAATCTAACTATGTGATGTGTGGGCTGCTCTTAGGAATGTTTTTATTCAAATACATGGAATGACTGAACTGCAATTAAATACAGTATATGGAATGTGTCATAGCTACAGGCTAACACCACTGCAGTATGTATTGCTAAGGATATTAAAAAGTTATCCAGGTATGATAGGAATGGCAAATCTGTTGCCAGACAGATGTTGCTGACCTATAGCATTCTCAGACAATCTAATTAATTATATATGGATGAGATCAAACAGAGTGTTGTTTAGTATTTACAAACAGGAGATTCTGGATTCTCTTTTCACATTGCTCCAAGTCACTTTATCAGGAAACCAAGCAGTGAAAGTGAAACAAAAGCTTATGAATGCAGGTATTTTCTACTCAGGTAAATCAGACACAAACTAATAATACTTGAAAGACTGTTCAGAATTCACTCTCAAGACTCTAAAAAGCCTCCATAGGAATCCCACAAATATTAGCTGTGGCTGTTGTTAAATTGAGATTGCAAAAGGAACAATAAAAGAGCAAATGCATGGATAATGGAAGAGTTTGCATGCAGGGGTACATTTTGAGTTAGACGTAAGAGCAGAAAATGATCAGTAAAAAATGGAGGGGGGGACACAACTAGAATGTATCTATCGAATTTATTCTTTTTTAAATTAAATTTATATCCTGCCTATCTCACTCTGAAAAGTGACTCTGAGTGGCTTACAATATATTTATTTATTTCATGCGTTTATTTACTGGGGAAAAAATATTACACTAGCAGTTTACACATAAAACATAGTAAAATCAAAAGACCACTAAAAAGCAAAACTACTGTACCATTTTAAAAAATAGTAAAAAACAGTCTATTCTAAAGCCCTCAAAGGCCTTTCACTTCACTTTAGAAAATTTCTGATCTATATAAAAGGAAAATCGTGAATTGCAGTTTAAAATAAAATTCTAGTCAATTGCTAAAACAAACAGCATCATTATGCCTTGTTTTCGTGATCTCTTTAGAAAAGCAGAGGTCATTTTCACTTTGTACATATTGTCAGGTCAGGAGGAACTTGCTGAGTAACCTAAATCCTCAAGCAGTGCTGCAATTTTCAAGTCAGACATTATAGTTAGGATGGCAAAGGAAATTATGTCTAGATCCATAAACAAAGTAGAGAGAGGTTTAGAGAAGGGAAGGGAGAAAAATAATCAAGAAAAGGAGGAGAAAAGGAGGAGGGGAGAAGAATTGTGTAAAAAGTCAAGGCTCATGGGAACGGCTGTCAACTGTAGAGTGTGACCCTCCCCATGAGATGTCAAGAAGAATTTAGAGGGGGTTGCCCATTCTTTTCAAACCTGATTTGCCCAGGCAAAGTTGAAGCACCATCCATATTCCCTCTGGGCTTGGTTCCCTGCTTGGTGAACCAGCTGTGCCCTTGGCCAAGCAATTTTGACAGCCCTCCTGCTTTGCCTGCACCCACATTGCTGAGAACACTGTCAACTCCTGCTATGCTTTGCTCCTCACTTTGCCTGGGCATTCTTGTGATGGGGCTTCCACAAAACAGGGCTATTAAAGAAAAAAAGATAAAGATGGCAGCCACGATGATGGACTCAAAGCTCCATGAAATATTAAAGAACAGGTGGAGCTTCAATCACACTGTCATAGATATCCTGCCTTTTTTTAACTGTACCCTGTACCCTTGGAAAAAGTTCAGAGAAGAGCAACTAAAATGATCACAGGCCTGAAGACTAAACTATATGAAGAACGGCTGCAGGACTTGGGTTTGGCTAGTCTAAAGAAAAGAAGAAACGGGGTGACATGATAGCAGTATTTCAGTATTTGAGGGGCTGCCACAAAGAAGAAGGCATCAAACTATTTTCTGAAGCACCAGAGGGCAGGACAAGAAACAGTGTTGGAAACTAATCAAAGAGAGTAGTAACCTGGAATTAAGGGAAAACTTCCTAACAGTGAGGACAATTAACCAGTGGAACAGCTTGGCTACAGAAATCGTGGGTGCTCCATCACTGGAGGTTTTTAAGAAAAGACTAGACAGTCACTTGTCTGAAATAGTATAGGTTCTCCTGCTCAAGCAGTGGGCTGGACTAGAAGACCTCCAAGGTCCCTTCCAGTTCTATTCTATTCTATCCTATCCTATCCTATCCTATCGTATCCTATTGACATCTTGCAACACAAACTGAGGCCTCTCCAATACACGGAATTATTAAAAACAAGGCTATTTGTTTCCTGCCTGGTCTTCACTGCAGTGAAATTATTAGATTTATTTATGGGTTTGCACAATTTCATGTAGGATTTTAAGGGGGTTGTGGTACCATTAAGTTTGAGAACCACTGAGCTTATATAGTTGGGAAAAAGCCCCTTTTCCCAGTTAAATATCAGGTTTGGGATCAAATGCCATCTCTTCAGAAACATTATGAAAGCCTATCTTATGTTTTGTGTATTATACTAAATGACAATGGATTCTGTGTTTTGTTTAAAAGAATCTCTGTTTGTAGGGCTTTATAATCTCTGATTTCTGACTTAGCATGATTTTTCACAACCATTTTTTTCTACAAATCAAAGTTAGAACAAATCACCACTTACCACAAAACTGATTTTCAAATAACTGTGATTAGCTGATCCTAACTAGGAGTAACTCTTCTTGAGGTAGAACTTTTTCTCAGTCCTTCAGCCTTCTGAATGTAAAACAGGTGTTAGGCAACTGAACTACGTATTTTCCTCATGCTTCTAAAGAAATCTATAGTCACCCATACAGGAAAGAAAATTATAGATATATACCTACAGGTAATCTTTGACTTACAACAGTTCATTTAGTGACTGAAAAAAGTGACTCATGACTGTTTTTCACACTTATGACCATTGCAGTATGCCCATGATAAAAATTCAGACACTTGGCAACTGGTTCATATTTATGATGCTCGCAGTGTCCCAGGGTCATGCAATCAGTTTATGAGAACTCCCGACATGCAACACCAGACTTAAACAACTTTGTCACTAACTTAACAACTGCAGTGATTCACTTAACAGCTGTGGCAAGAAAGGTTGTAAAATGGGACAAAATTCACTTAACAAGTGTCTCACTTAGCAACAGAAATGTTGGGCTCAATTGTGGTTATAGATCAAGGACTATCTGTATTATGATAAGCAATTTACATAATAGAATACATTTACCCTGTACAGAGTCAGACCTGTAACCAATCTAGTCCTGTACCATTATCATTTCCTTTGATTGAGCTGGATTTGTAGCTAAAAGTCTCATCAATGTTGAGGAAGTGGACTTATTAGGAGGTCCATCAGAAAAAGGTACTGGATCCTGTTGAATTCCAAGAAGCCTAAGAAGAGTTTGTGCCTGGTTTTTCCAGTGTTTTCCCCAATGCCCTGTTAGGCAGAATGTAGAACTTGCCGGGGGGATTGATACCCATAGGACCTGGATAAGCAGCAGGACTTGAAGTTTAAAAACACCCAACTTTGCTAAGGCTCAACATGGAGCCCATTAGAAGATCTATGTTGTTATATCTGCAGCAATGTTGTGAGGGGTGATAATCCCCTCTGTCTTCAGAAATCTGCTATAGGATTCTCAGAGTCTTGCTATGACAGTTTCAGGATTGGTTGGTTGGGGTAAAATTTTCTATAGTTGAGCATAGTCCTATCAAGAATTGTTCTAGAATCAACAGAAAGCTTGTTTTGGTTGGATTGAGATTTGTTTCTCACTATCCAACCTGACATTCTCAAGACACTCGATCTGAATTTCTGCTGTATATCCAAGGAGGATCAGAATGGAAATACAAAATTGGGGGGGGGGGGATCTGCATATTGATGATACCTCTCCCTGACCAATAAATAATCCTTCCAAGAGCTTCATATAGATATTATATCAGACAGATGAAAGATCCAAACTCATTCCATAAAGGAGTACTCAAGGGTCCAGTCTCTCCTCCCCAGTAAACACAAATTATTGCCTTGTTTTAGGAAGGAGCGGAACCACCATATTAGAGTTGGAGGTACTGTACAGTTGATACATCCAACTATAATCAACCTTTGGAGAAGGGTCAAAAGTGTATTGTGGTGGTCACTAGCGCTATCTATTAAGGCTGATGAGAGGTCCAAGCAGGCAAAGAAGTTTCACTTCCACCTTTAAATCTTGCCTTAAGGCATATACTGTATGAGTATGCATGTAAATTAGGTGAAAAATGAAACTGGCCCTTTTGCCTGACCTGGGAAGGACATTATCAGGTGCTAAATGTGAGGTCAATGAGGAACAAAAGATAGACTAGCATGGGAACAGAAAGTGTTAATTGTAGGGCTTCCATCTATGAAGTCTAATTATGTCTGCCTTGCCCCAAATGCAGTGCCAATTCCTTTCTGCTGTCTTGCTTT